TATCACTCAACATTGCTTTGATGTTAAATTTGAGGTCCAAATTGTGGTTCATAGTTTAGTTGGTTTAGTCTTAATTGCCGTATAGCATTCATTGTATAAATACACCAAAATTTATTCATTCTGCTGTTGATAGGCCGCTTGGTTAGTTATTAGTATGAATAGTGCTGCTGTGAACATTCTTGTACATGTCTTTGAACATAAATACATAAGAAAATAATTAATTTTAAAAACAAAATACTACAAAAACATATACTATAGACATCACACACATATAAAATAAGGGAAAGACTTCTTTCCTCCAACCCTGATCCACCAAAGGTAGCAACTGTTAATGGTTTCTTACATAACTCTTCCAGAACAAATGTTTATCTTTGCATTTGTATGTGTTGTTTCAGATTTTTCTGCTGGAATATGGATTATCAGTGAGAGGCTTCCATTCCTTTTAGCCCGTCCACACACAGACCAGCTGAGGAGATTTAGTTGAGAATATAGAGCAAGAGCAGGTGCAGCCTATTTCCTTGGCAGCTTTTCCCAGCCTCCAGTTCCCTAGTAAGATGTGGATATGCTAGTGACACAATCTTAACAGGACTCAGGGTCTGCTAAACAATCAAATGGTTGCCTTACAAGTGTTTTACAGCAAGGGCTTATCGCCATTCTACTTGATTTACACCAAAATCTTGGCCTTTCCATTTAGGAAAATATTTATACATAAGGTGCTATTTGAAAAAAACCATCTAGTCGCATTTTCATCATGTGGGAAAAAACAGTCAATACTGCACAAGAGATCTGTGATAATTGTTTTTGGACCAAATTCCATAGCAGAGTCATTTAGATTAAATGGTTTTAAATTAGGAATATGTTGTTGATTGCACAGAAATAGGTTTTTAGGAATGCTGAGACAGAAATTTTAATCTTATTCTTCTTCCCTGATGAAGATGTAGCCAGTGAAAGTTTGATCACATTTTTAAAAACATGACTAGTGAAGTAAGAAAGTTGCTAACATTTCTTTTCAAATTTGTGGGTAATCCCTCTTGCTTAAGAGCTTCATTGATAAAATTGGATTTGGTAGTGTCAAAGTAAAAGTTCAGCTGTGATATTGGCAAATTGCATGTTTGGTTTTATTTTAAAAGAAGTTTTATTATGTAAAATTTAAAACACTCACAAAATAAGAGTAATAAACCTCCATAAATCAAGCATCTAGAGTCAACAGATATAACTGTACAGCTGATAGTTCTTTCATCTCAACTCTTTCCCTCCTCCCTCTTCTGGAATATGTTAAAGCAAATCCCAGATGATATATTTTCATCTGTAAGTAACTTTGTATTCAAAGAGATAATTTCTTTAAAAAACTTATAATCAACAATACCACTATCATCCTACTAATTGGCTTTATCCTCCAAGTATAAAAATGACTACCAGTATTATTACTATTAATACAGTGATTACTGAATTGTTTGGGATTTCTTTGCAGTTCCTTATGTTGTAGGATATCCTTATGATGTATGATCATATTACTGTTTTAAAGGCTCTAAAATAATTATTCTCTGTGGTTAAGCTTGATACCTGTAAGTTAATTTGTTTGGTTTGTTTTTGATTTAGGGGCTCCTTATTTTCTATTTTGATATAATTTCATTTTATACTTGTGTGAAAGATTTCCATGGCTCTAAAACAAGATGATTTTGGAGTTCTGTGTTCATAGAATCAACAGAGGCTTGTAAAGCCCCTGATAAGATAATGAAAATTTTATATTTTGAGACAATCATAGTTATTCTCTGCTCTTTCCCAAAGGCTCCATGAGCAGCACATACAGAAAGAACAAAAGAATGACTATAGAGCAGTGGCTCTTTAAGTTTTTGGATCTCAGGATCCCTTTATACTCTTAAAAAGATACTCAGAGGGGTTTTTATTTGTCATACAAGAAAATAAAATGAAAAAAAATTGGAAATATTAACTCACCTAACAGCACACCCATTATCTGTTAATATAATTTTTTTTCACAAAAATTATATACTTCAAACCCAAAATACTGGTGAGAAGAGTGGATTTGTTTTATATTTGCAAATCTCTTAAATGTCTGGCTTGATGGGAAGCAGCTGGATTTTTCTCATCTGTGACTGCTTTCAGTCAGTTGTCTTAGGTAGCATCTGGAAAACTCCACCGTACACTGGCAAAACCATGAGAATAAAAACATCTTAGTGTTAATAAATGAAAATATTTTGTCTGCATAAGCCCTGTTGAGTCCCAGTTCTCTACTCTGGACTGTGTTAAGCAGAGCCCTGGAGCTTGACTTAAGTGTGTTGTGTTTGCATATTTTGTGTTGATTGGTCGTTCAGAAGGACCCGGTCTTATGAAAGTCAACCCACCCCCATCCTGGGAGTGGCAGAAATGTGCTGTGCTGGCCGCTGTGTGTTCCTGCCGCAGTTCCTTCCCGCCACCTGTGCCTGGGTTGTTCTGGTGGGGCTGGTCCCGATCGCTGGCGAGCCTACCTGGCCCTCAGTGGTTCCCACCATGTGGCTGTTGCTCCCTGTGTCATCACTGCATCCCTGCCAACAAGGGCCGACCCTGCCCTATTGCAGTCCATTACTGCATATACGGTGGCTGACCAGTCACCGTGCTTCTGCAGGGCTCCGTGGCGACCATCAGTGTGAGCATGGTGTCCCACTGCCAGCCGCTTTAGAGCTGACTGGAGAGGCGGATGAGGTAGGATAGGCCCATCCACGTGTGCGGTCAGCCCACTTTTCCTGGTTGACGGTGCAGAACACATGCCTATCTGTAATCCACAGGCATCTAAGTGCGTTTGGCTGGTACCGTGATGCTGCGAAAGCTTTGAGCACTTGTTCGCTCCTATCTGAATAACCGTGGTAATTCCCTAATTTATTGATGTCTGTGGGTGCCAGCGGCTCTGGCAATTCTAGACAATGCTGGATCCATCACATATCCCGTGGCCCAATTAACTATTCAGGTGGAGGTCGTAGTGCCAATGGTGCCACGACCACGGTGATGGGGAATCCGGGTTCCATTCCGTAAAGGGAGCCAGGTAATTGATTACCCCAACCAAGGAAGGTAACAGACTCCCAAATTACCAACTCGCACCTGGAGGGAGCCGTGAGGGAAAACACCACTGGACTCCTTCGAGGTCCTGTAATTGGAATAAGTCCGCTTTAAATCCTTTAAGGAGGATCCATTGCCGGGCAGGTCAGGTACCAGCAGCTGCGGTAATCTCAGTTTAAGCGCAGGGTATTTAATATTTGGTCCAGTTAAAATGTGCGTTCATGGGTCTCCCACGCGACAGTGGTCCCTCCCAGGGGAACCACTGTCCCCGTCTCCGCCGCCTGCCTCTGGGTGCCTCCTTGCTCTCAGCCAAGTGGATGCGAGCTGCCTGGGTACTGGGAGTCGTGGAATGGGTGTGTGGTTCTATTTTGTTTGTGTCAAGAGATATAATTTTTGAGGCTGACTGAGGCGGTGTGGCTCAGGCAATTGTAATGCACTGCTAGAGCTCAGTCTTAGATGGTGCAGGGTGGACTAGGGTGGAGGCTTTTGCCAGAGATGTTTTCTTTAATCAAGCATTAAGGTTAAAGTGGGAGGTTTGAAGAGGTTCAGATCCCGTATAGTTCTGCTCATAAACATTGCTGGCGTTGTTCTCATGACGTGTCGGCAGCTCCAGGAAACTAGTCTTTCCGGTGGTGGTGGCTGGAGGGTCTGGTTCCAAAGCTGAAATTGAAAGGCACGGCAGTGGAGTCTGGCTTGATTTGACTCATCCCGGGCAATCCCACCAAGCTCCTGCACGGACAGGGTTGGCACATGATAGCTGTTCCGTGGGCCATGGTGCATGGCCTTTCTGGGGGTGGTGGAGAGATTTGTCTGGCTTGTTGGTACCCAGCATCCATCAACTTCCACACTATCCGTTCAGTTGCAACATTGAACAGTCGCCAGTTAGTGATATTCTTAAAGGACCAAGACTGCGTGCCATGCTGCTTAGTGTGTGTGCACCCTACTCCGGTGGGTGCTGCGGGCCCATTAAATCCATTAGTGATGGGTTTGGATTGCAATTATTCCCATTAGCAAGGAATTTCCTGTAAGAGAGTGGATGAAAAGTTTGCGTTAAGTTTCTGCCCCTTATACACACTGCCTCTTGCTGCTCAGATTGCCCACTTGGGGTGTGCCTGGTGGATCATGAAGTAGACAGTCTAAATAAAAGTTGAAATTAGTGTTATTTGGTGGTCCTGTGGAAAGAGCACCGTGGAGTGATGAAGCAGAATGAATCTGGCAGGTTCCCTTTCCATACAGTGCTGGCCACCTGAGGCAAGGAGAGGGACATATGTGCTCTGAGAACCACCTGGGGTGTGGGTGAGGGGTATGAGAGGTGAGCTGTTGCCTTTTTGTTGCAGTCCCGGTAGCCTTGGGCTCCAGTAGCTTCTGCCCTGGCTCATCTTTTTCTGGCCTGGCACCTTACGGTCTTGGAGTACCCTGCCTGCTTGCTCCCCTTCCCTCCCACTCCCCACACAACCCACACAGAGGAGAGTGAGTGCCCTGTCCTTATGTCTCTCTCTCTCCCTCTCCTGGAGTGAGGTGAAATGAAAAGTATGTCTCCTGTGCCTGGCCATTGTTGTTGGTATGTTAAGTCCTTAGATGTGTTTTGTGGAGTTTAAATTTAGGATTGACTTTTAAAATTTAGGACACTAAGGATGATCTGATTTTACATGTTTCTATTTAGTATTTGTTAGTTGTGGAAGAGTTCAGTAACCATTTGTTATTTTCAATTCTTATTTTCAGAGTTTTTATTCAAAGGTAAATTGGCCTTTTTATATATTAGGAAATTTTTTTGTTTCAGATATATACTTGATTATCATCCTAATGTACATTTTAGTTCTCCTGTGCTGTTGGTTCATGTTTACCAAGTGATTCTTTCTTTAACATGAAGCATTTTAATTTTGGGTGGTCTGTTTTTTTTTTTTTAAGTTATAACCAAAGATAATGAAAGTTTTCTTTTTCACTAACAGACATATGTAGAGTGTGTCGATCAGAAGGAACACCTGAGAAACCTCTTTATCATCCCTGTGTATGTACTGGCAGTATTAAGTTTATCCATCAAGAATGGTGAGTCATCCTTTTAGAAAATGTTGTATCTGGGCCTCAGTTCTGTCATCTCTGTAATAAGTGGGATTGTTTCAATGAACTTCCTCTGTAATTGGTTATTGTTTAAAAACTTTGTTGTGAAAATTTGGAAATTACCCAAATTACTTATTACCATGCCATGTCATTTTGATGTATTGTCTTCCAGGTGCACGTATCTGTTTATTTCTGCCATGGAGAGCTTTTTATTTCCATTGGAGGTGTTAAGACTTCCTAGTTTTGTTTTACATGATAGTAGCTATCATTTATGAAATGCTTTGTTCGAGTTGTACTCAGTACTTTACACATCTTAACTCATTTAATTCTTACAACAAAAGGTGAGGTGGCGTATGAGGGAAGTGAAGCACAGAAAGGTTAAGTTACTTGTTCTAGGTCCTACAGCCACCAGCCGGTTAATGACAGAATCAGCATTCACACTAGCTAGCAGGGTAGCCATGTTATCAGACCAGTATTACAATGGATGTTCATGCTTGGCGATTGTCTCTTATTCCATTAGCTTTGAGGAGATTACAAGTGAGATTAATTCAATTTTTTAAGAGTAGAAATACATACTGTTTTATCTTTATCTGTTATAGTTCTGTACTCTTAGAAACATCAGTTATAAAAAGTTAAGAATATTCTAAATTTGAAATTGTTAGAATTGTAAAAGCTCTATGATATGTAGTTTTTGTAAAACAGAAATTAGTTTTCATTGAAACTTTAAAGTTTATTACAAACACTGCACTTATAAATGTCTTTGTTCTTGCAGCTTAGTTCAGTGGCTGAAACACAGTCGAAAAGAATACTGTGAATTATGCAAGCATAGATTTGCTTTCACACCAAGTAAGTTCTTTACAAATTTTCCCTGTGTTTTTGGCTTATACTGGCTGCATAATGGTGTTTAAGCATTTTTTGAAAGCAACTCTTCTCAATTTAACTTGTCTTTGATAGTAATAGAAAGTATTGCTATAACATTTTGGAAAATATTTTTAAAAACTCATGCCAGCTTTTAACAAATACATACGTGCGTGTGAGAGAGATTTTATTTGTGGGGTATTTTTTTTTTTCCTTTTTATTATGGACAAGTTCAAACATACAGTAAGGTATAATGAGTCCACATGTACACATCACTTAGCTTGACTCATTTTTCAACTTTGGCTTTTACATGGCATTATCTGTGCTCTTGTTCTCCACCCTTGCATTGTTTTAAAAGCAAATCCCATCATTTGTAATTTCATCTGTGCATATTTTTAGTATTATCTCTAGGAAGTAAGGCTTGTTTTTAAAAAAACATGAGTGTAATACCATTATTCACCCAGAAGAATTAATAATGCCGTGATTTTATCAAATCTCCAGCAGTGTTGAAATTTGAGCTCTCTTTTGAGTTAAAATTGTGTTGGAATAATAATTTTAAAAAGTTTTAATTCACCTTTTTTAAAATGAGACATTTTAAGCTCAATATTTTGTAAACGTTTAGTAAATATTTTGCAGGTACTTAAAATTTCAATTATGTAATTCCTGTACCTATTGATTGATATTTAATGTTCATTTTAAATAACTTCAAATTATCAAGAATTTGAAGCATATTTTCATTCTGAAATTCTAGTATATTGCTTTCCTCTGAAAGTCTTTTTGTGTTTTAGTTTTTTTTAAGTATCGAGCTTCTGAATATAAATGCTGTAAATTTATATTCATTTTACTTTGTTTTTATGTAATAAGTATAAATGATCAAAGTTTTTACAGTTTCATTTTTGGAGCTTTATATTCATCATCATCAAAAAGCAGCAATTGTGTTATTTTGTGGTCTTTAGTTTTCTGGAGCACATAAAAACTCTATAGCTTATAGCAAATTGTAAGACTAAATAATTGACTATTTCCATGGAGTTTGATTGAGAGGACGTATTCATGTGAGCTTTTTTCTTTGAAGCCAGTAAGTGCTTTGTGTTTGTACATTTTAGTTTTAGTTTGACAGTCATAATGCTATTTTTTTCTTTCTCAAAAACCCTATTTACTGGTTTAATGATTTGTTCTTATGTATAAGTATCTTCTTAATGTAAGTAATTTTTTACTTTTGGGTGTGTTGTAAAAAGTTGCTGTACATGTTTATTTGTCAGTGTTTGTAGCTGCAAACTGTACTTTCATAAATTTTGGATCATTGATTTAAAGACTTTATACATCACATTTTCTTGTTTGTCCTTACTGGAGAAAGAGGCAGTTGTTCTTCCTATGTATTCTTTCTGAGATCCTGTGGCAGAGCAGTAGTTTTCAATGGAACCATTTAAAAAGGACATCTTTTTAAAATGTGGCAGATTTTTTTTTTTTTTGACTGTTGTGATTTTTGAGTGCTGAGTCTAAGGCTTGTATTTGAGAGAACAGTTCTTTTTTGATGACATACCACCAGCTTAACCCTTTGCTCCTGTTCGCTTTATCCGATCTTTTATAATTTGAGAAATAGATAATTACATTGTTTGCATGATAAAATGTGTAAATTAGCTGTGCATGAAGTTCATGGCTGTGAGTAAGGGATGTGAACTTCCTTGGATCATTTTTCCTGCTCTAGGCCTTTTTATTGGCTTCTACATTTCGCATGTGATTTGCTTCCATATATGATTTATGGGTAAATGTATTGTCATAATATTTGATTTACCTTTTTATAGGAGAAAATTAAGTACAGTACAAATATTGGAGGTTAAGATAGCTCTGCATGCATATTTTATATTCATTAAGCTATTTTTAAATCTTCATGAAATTTTATATGTACTTACTTTCTTTTATAGTTTATTCCCCAGATATGCCTTCACGGCTTCCAATCCAAGATATATTTGCTGGACTGGTTACAAGTATTGGCACTGCTATAAGATACTGGTTTCATTATACACTTGTGGCCTTTGCCTGGTTGGGAGTTGTTCCTCTTACAGCATGTGAGTATTCATTCCTCTGTGGTTAGAGTTACTTAAACATTACATAACTATTTAATATTATAAAGTAATGTGGTGTCATTTTTGTTTGAATGTTATTTAATTTTAGATTTATAGTGTCATATATTAGGAAAGCCTCATTTAGAAAACATTACTAATCTGGATTAAGATTATTTTTTAACATCAGTTTCTCAGATGAGTGTAGGAACTAAAAACACAGCACACAGAGGCTAATAATGAAAGTTCAGGAAAGAATTGAAAAAGCAAAATCAAACCATAATTGGTAGGGCCTTGAATTTTATTTCTTGAAGTATATTAGAGCTTTCAAGGATTGTAAAAGATGGCTTATTTTGAGATTTCTTTTCCCCCTTTTAAAAGACCTTCATTTCATGTATCTAATAGTCCTGAATAATTGGGAGGCTTATTTTTCAAATACAGGAGGCTCTCTGGGAGGTTGTTATACTAACCTCAGTTGATCCCTTTTGGGTCCTTTGTTCTTAAAGACATAGAAAGGGGTAGACAGGTAGCATTTGGTGCCGGAGTGTATAAATAAGGAGTTAAATGCAAACATTTTTGAATAAGAATAATTAATATCCTCATGACCCCACAAAAAAACATGATTGTTTACGAAAATAAAAATCTTGGGAGATACACCCAAGAACAGACTAGGTACTGTTTAAGAGTGAATTAGTGAGCTAGAAGATTGAGCAAAGAGTTCTTCTCTAAGATGTAACTCAAAGAGACAAGAGGTTGCAAGTATGAGGAAAAAATTGAGAGATGGAGGCTATGTCCCGTTGATTCAGTATCTGTCTGGTAAGTGGTGTGAGAAGGTAAAAGAGGTAACAGACATGAGGAAATGGGAGACCTCTTTGAGACTGAAAGAGACAGAGCAGACCATGATAAAGGAAAGAGACTCACAAATCTAGACCCATTATAGTTTCCAGTGCTCAGTAGAATGGTGAACAGATGTTATGATTTCAGATTATCCTACAAAGTAATAATGAAAATCAGACTGGTATCAGACTTTAAGTCAGCTCTCAAATGCTGGAAGACAGCCGACTCAACGTTTGACAAAATTTTTGTACCTAAAATCTTCTTATAAATTATTCTCAGTTGGAGGGACAAAATAGACATTTCAGTAGATGCAAGGGCTTGGAAAGTTTACCACCTCAAATATTATGAGAAAAGTGTTTGAGAATATACTTCACTAAAATGAGCAAGGAGTCAAAGAGAGAGAAAGGTGTGAGCTACAAAGAGAAAGAAATGCTTCTTATACCTAAATCACAATTATATTTACAGTATAATATAGTTATTTTAATCTATAGTAATAATTTTTAGGTAACAGTGAAATTAAAATTCTAGGTGATTTTCACATGGGAGAAATTATGAGGGGAGGATAGGAAAGAGAATTTTTTTAAGTGGATTGTCTTATTTATGGGAAGATTATAGATACTTTAAATATAGATAGGAAAATATAGTGTAACTATGCATTAAGATATAAGGGTAGCCAAATGGAGTCTAGAACTAGACCCATGCTTGCAGTGTCACGTGATTAACAACTCAGTATGTTCAATAGACGATAGATGGTCTTTTCAGTAAATGGTATAACATCAACTAGATGGCCATATGGAGAAAAATGAATGCTATCATTACTTTATACCTGACACAGAAATGAATTTGAGATGGATCATAAATAAGCCTGATTGTGAACTTTAAAACCAAAGAACTACTAAAAGAACGTACAGACTAACCATAAAAGAAAATACTGATAAATTGGACTTAATTAAAACTAAGAACTTCTGTTCATGTTCAGATACCATTAAGGAAAGGCAAGCCACAGAATGAGAGAAGATATTTGCAGTACACATACCCAACAAAGGACATGTATCTAGAGTATGTAAGGAACTACAAAATCAGTAAGAAAAAGGCAGAAAACCCAGTTAGAGTGAACAGAAGATATGGACAGGTGTTTCTGGAAAGAAAGGGATCTAAACTGCTAGTAAACACATGAAAAGATGATGAACATCAGTAGTCATTAGGGAAGTACACAAGAAGATATTGCTGCATGCTCAACAGAATGGCTAACATTTAAAGACAAGGCGATGCCAAGTGTTTCTTAGGATGTGGAGTGTCTGGAACATGCATACATTGATGGTGGAAAGTATATATGGTATAACCACTTTGGAAAACTGGCAGTATTTACCATTGCTAAGTATTACAAATACCTTAGATCCAGCAGTTCCATTTCTGAGAATATAGCTAACAGAAACTAGAACCTTGCATCCATTAAAAGACATATGTTATAAGAATGATGACAACAGCATTGCTAATAGTAGGTAAAAATTGCAATCAACCAAATGCCTGTCAACAACAGTAGAATGGATATATTGTGGTTTATTCCTGCAATGAAATACTACATAGCAGTGAAAAGGAGCTGATTATTGTGCCGTGGAATAACACGAATTTCACTTCTTTGTGAAAAAGTAGCCAGGCACAAAAAGATTATATGGAGCACTTACGTGAAATTTAAAAATAGACCAACTTGAACTATGGTGGTAAGAGATCAGAATAGTGGTTACCTTTTGCCAGAGATAGGAAGGGTTTGAGGGAACCTTCTGGGGGGCTATAAATGTTGAGTATCTTGACCTAGGTGGCAGTTATCTGGATGTATACATGTATAAAAATTCACCCAGATGTACACTTAAGATTTATGTCAATTTTACCTTACTAAGTACAAAACAACTTAAAGGTAACTGTTTAAGAACAGAATTAGGATGGTGAATTTTTATCCTGGGGAATGGGAGTAGGAAATAACAAATAAAATTTGGAAAACCCAACAAATGATAGGAAAGAGGAATGAGAGGCAGGAGGAAAGTAAAAGAGGAAAGGATAAGGTTGCAGCATCTGTGATCACAAGGGTTTAGATTTCTCTGTTGCAAGAAAGAACATCATGGTTGTGTGCACATAAAAGGGTTCCACTACAAGACGTAAATACAAAGAGGTAAGCCCGGGTTAATAGTGGAGGAGTTTGTTAGCAGATACCAACAAAACACTGGAACAGTATTATTCAGCTAGATACTATTCAAGATGAAAATCTTTAAGAAGGGAAAAGCTACATTTCATGTTAATAAAAGGATAGTTCACTATGAAAATAAAACTTAGAAACTTCTTTTAATTGAAATACAGTTGACACACAATCTTATATTGGTTTCAAGTATACAGCACAGTTGTTCAACAGTTACCCATATTATTAAATCCTCACCCCCACTAGTGCAAAAACTTAAAAACTTTTGTGCAGTGGAAAACAGGACTTAGAAGTATGTGAGGCATTCGCAGTCACAATGGAAGGGTAACTCCTCTCTCAAACTAGTAGACCAAGTAATCAAAAATTAAGTAAGGACTTAGAAGATTTAATCAACAAAGTTAACAAGCTTAATTTCTGTTCTGACTTGTTTACAGATACACACAGTTAAAATCTGAATTAGATCATACAATGCATAATTGGTAGCATTTTTTTTAAGTTAGTAATGTTCCCTGGCTGCCTTTCCAATTAAGAACATGTTGAGCTACCTCATTTTTAATGGATGCATAACATGTATGGTAAAGAGGACTACATATGAATCCATATTCCTATCTATACACATTTGGTTTGTTGTCAGTTTTACTTCATTATAAGCATGGTTGCTTTGAATATTATACATACATATGTAAGTAATTTCTATTACAAGAAATCTTTTCCTACCTTTCCATTTTGACTTGGCTTTTGAAAACAGCCATTGAAGTCATTGAAAATTTCTGACACAAGGCTATAGGGTATGAATGCCTAAAGTAATGTACAAGTTGAGTACAAGTTCCAGTTTGAAAGAAAATCTCAGTTGTTTCCTCTTTGGCCCCATTTCCAGATCTCCACCTGCCTCTTCTGACTAAGAACATAAGGGGATGGCTGTGTACTTATCCATACTTCATCTTTTCCCTTCATGGCCAGACTTTTGATATTTTGTTTTTCAGGACTCTTGAATTTGTGTTTTTAAAAAATTGGTTGTTATTTTGCTATTCATGGCTTTGGAGCATGTACTCTACTGTAATGTCCTCTTAATTTCAAAAATATATACCCCCCCAAATTGAAACTTTTTTTGAGTAAATTTAATGAATTTTAGAATTCTAGGTTTAAAAAAATCTGTTGTAATGCTGCAGATCTTTAGATATTTTTTCCTTTTTCTAAGCTTATTCAATAAAAAAAGTAAACCTAGAGAGAATCTAAATTTTAAACATTGTTGTATAACATTTACTCTTCATTGTCACTGTTATGCTTGACCATGTTCTTGTTTTGTTTTAAATAAAAAAAGTAAATCTAGAGAGAATCTAAATTTTAAACATTGTTGTGTAACATTTACTCTTCATTGTCACTATTATGCTTGACCATGTTCTTGTTATGTTTTAAACAAAACAAAATTTAGTATTTTGAGACTCAGCCTTGCAAAAAGTACATGTTTCGGTGGTATTCATGGTGCCCCACTTTTCTTGTTTAATTGACTGTGAGGTTCACTATGAGAGTTGTCACTGTACTCCATCTTGCCCTTTTTTGCTAGGCCGCATCTACAAGTGCTTGTTTACTGGCTCTGTGAGCTCACTACTGACACTGCCACTGGACATGCTGTCCACGTGAGTATTAAATCTTCTATAGTGCAAGGCTGCACAACATAGCTGGTGTTCATTTTTGCTTTCACATACTTATTTTTGTTATAATTCGGAAAGTCCTGTTTGGAGGACAAATAGTAACTTAGTCTTAATTCTAACAGTGATAGCTATAGTAGAAGTAGCTGACGTATATAAATGATGTTCGTTTTAAAACATACCCATCTTAAAGGATGTAACTGAAGGATGTAACATTATTTTGAAATGGAGAGACAGCTTATTAAACAGGCTGCATGTGCTATTATGTTCATATGCTGAGAGGTCTTTTAAACTTGTGTGTTTAACAATATAGACATTTGAATTCAAATTTATTTTTAAAATGTTTCCCATGTTTATTGGTGTATGTACTCTAAAAACTTGTTCACCGTAATTGTTCTCCTGTGAAAGATACATGTGTTTTATTTATCACTGATGTCAGAATTAGAAATGCTATAAGTAATTAACTATATCAAGATCATTAGACTGTTAAACCTGCAAAAGATTGCACATATATTTGCTAAATATTTTGTACCCACCTGTCCTTAGGTTTCTGATCCCTGTGTCAGTAAAGGCAAAGAATAATGTGAGACTTTTTATGGAATAGAAGCAGAGTATATTACCATAAAAATAAGCTAAATGGCAAAAGATAGAAAAGGAATTAAGAAGGAGGTCTTCTAAGTCTCTTGTGTCTGCATCATTTTTAATCATGGTTGAAAATAACTTAGAAACATTAGACATGTCTGCGATTTGGTTTTCCTACTTGTTGGTCATAACTTTTTCATATAGAATAGGCAAGTTATTCAACTTGTCTGTTTCTTTGGCATTATAGGCAATAGATAAAAACTTTTAAAACTTAAACCTTATTTACATTAAAATTGTTTTTGTTTTCATTATTGAAGAACAGTTTTGAATATTTAGCAGTAGACAACGGCCTTGGAAATAGGACACTAAATGGCTGTGACAATGACAAAAAGAAGAACCAGTAATTTGACACACTTGAAAATTTGGGAATTGTGTAAGAAGATATAACCCTTTGTATAAAAAAATACATAGTTTCTCTGAAGTGGTGCGGTAGAAACAAATAGAGCAACATCCCTATTTCTGGACATCAGATTTTCATCTCATCTATCCAGAACACAGTCTTAATGTAGTAGCAGGAATAATCAGTCTTAAGTGTCTCAGCAGACATTCATTACGTCTTGCTGTATATGACATATATAATTAACCTTTGGTTTTCATTTCAGAATTGTACATGAAAAAAAGGTGAATATTCGAAGTAGCAGGGGAAGTCAGAAAAACAAGAAGTGACTGCTAAGAGTGATGGTAGTTACATTTGAAAGTCCGTAAACTAGTAAAAGAACCATTTCTACAGCGCAGTCTTGTTCCATTTAGTTCAAGGCGAAGATTCTGTATACCTCTGCAGTAGTGAGAGTTAAGTGTGGCGACTGGTCAGTATCTCAGTTGTCTAGAAAAGGTGACTTGAGTTCCATATGAGAGCGGTTTCTCCAGAGGCTATCAAGATTCTTGAGTTATGGAATTATTCTGAGATCAGACATAGGCTGGGAAAGGTTAAGACACTTCAGAGAGGCAAAGAACAAAGGTTTTCAGTGTTAAACTACTTAAATGTATTTTCACATATAATTATAAAGAAAGCATACTTTATTTGCTTGAGGAACTAATTTGTTGAGGAACTAATAATACATTTTTGGTAGGTTTGTAGTTAGCATCAAAATTTAATCTGTTTCCTAAGTGACAGATTTCTAAAGTGTATTACAGACTTCTTTGTTGTACATAGTGCACACTGATTTCAGTCTCAGCCTTCGTTTACGTTGTTGGGCCTTCCTGGAGGTGCTTCTCCACTTTTCTGACTTGCTGATTCTGTTCATTTGCTTGGGCTTAGGTATCAGCCAACCAAGTTTGTTAAACTTGTATATAAAATAAGGATAAGGAGATTCCTAGCCAGGGTCTGACAGAGTTGTTCACCTTCAGTAAATTACATATGTACCTGGCCTTTGTCCAGTTTTTTGCCTGCCACTTTCCTGTTTCTAAGCCATGTTCAAAGAAAGGCTGGATAGCTAATTTCTATGTACTTCTGATGTTGTTCTTTGTTCACTATATTATAAATAGATATAATGCAAGTATATGAGTAGAAACACTTAGCCAGCTTATAGGATAGAATTTCACATAAATAGAATGAATTTCTCAGAAATAATTATAGTTGCTTTTTGAGAAACTAATTTTCACCCAAAGCCTTTCTAGCTATTCTTTCTGAGATTTTAATGTAACATGAAATGTTGTTACCTTTGATTTCTTAATCTTAAGTGTTCTTTGGAGTAATTCTATGTAATTTCTTTTTAATAGGGACAATTTATTGGCAGACTGTCTGCAGGGTTGTTTTGTGGTGACATGCACACTGTGTGCATTCATCAGCCTGGTGTGGCTGCGAGAGCAGATAGTCCATGGGGGAGCGCCTGTTTGGCTGGAGCATGCTGCCCCGCCCTTCAATGCTGCTGGACACCACCAAAATGAGGTGACTCCCTCCACCCCTGAACTGATTTTATTCGGATAGCACATGAGAATTATTGTCGCCCTTTAAGACCCAAACCTCTGACTCCCGTGTCACTCATGGCAATGCTAGACAGTGAAAACGTTTGGGAGAAGATTAAGGGAGATGTGTAAAAGCAAAAGAAGGCTCCTGTTACTTTGCCCTTTGGTTGTCTGGTGAGATTGGAACAATATTAGGGGTGCACCAGAGTGCTGCTACACTGGCCTGGAGGTTAAGATACAAGACTTCCTGGATGTGCCTCTGATGTGCTGCATGACAGTAAGGAGGCTGATTCCCCTCTTTTCCCTTTGGGTTCTTCATATGTCAATGCCTCGCCTTGGCTGCACCCAGTAGGAACATTACCAAAAGTAGAAAAATTGCAACACTGTGTTGATAACTGTCTTGTGCAATTTTACTTTTGCTTTATGAGATGACTTGCTTAGATGCAAGAGCATTGCTAGAGGCATCAGGAGGAGGAGGAGATGAGAAATTATTATTAGCATCTTGCTGTGAAATTATGGGAAGGAAAGTGTCAAAAAATTAGCTACTTATATATGAAAACAGTTTGCACTTCATAAAATTTTATTATGAAAAATTGACTGTTAGATACTCAAAATAATAAATAATCTTTCATATAAGGATCTGCTTTTGCCAGCGTGTAGTTTGATTTCATCAAGTTCTGCCATAACTTGTCTTCTACTGCATTAAGAGTGCAACTGATCTTTTGAAAACCACACATATTATAAAAAATGAGACTATAAAGGAAGGAAGGACACCGTTTTTTTTTTTTTTTTTTTGAGAGGGCATCTCTCATATTTATTGATCAAATGGTTGTTAACAATAAAATTCTGTATAGGGAAGTCAATGCTCAATGCACAATCATTAATCCACCCCCAGCCTAATTCTCGTCAGTCTCCAATCTTCTGAAGCATGACGAACAAGTTCTTACATGAACAAATTCTTACATAGTGAATAAGTTCTTACATGGTGAACAGTACAAGGGCAGTCAGTCATCACAAAAACTTTCGTTTTTGATCACTCATTATGAACTATAAACAATCAGGTCAAATATGAATATTTGTTTGATTTTTATGCTCGATTTATATGTGAATCCCACATTTCTCCCTTTATTACTATTTTTATTATTATTTTTTTAATAAAATGCTGAAGTGGTAGGTAGATGCAAGATAAAGGTAGAAAACATAGTTTAGTGTTATAAGAGAGCAAATGTAGATGATCAGGTGTGTGCCTGTAGACTATGTGTTAATCCAAGCTAGACAAGGGCAATAAAACATCCACCAATGCAGAAGATTTCTCTCAAAATAGGGGGGTGAGGTTCTAAGCCTCACCTCTGTTGATCCCCAATTTCTCACCTGATGGCCCCCCTGCGACTATGCCTGTCTTAGGTTGTTAAGGACACAGTTTTTAATCTAGTATTCTTACTTTTGTTATTTTGCCTCATGTTTTAAAGCATTTAATGCAGTTGTTCTTTTAGATTCTTCATTAATTCCAGTGTGTTAATGAACTTTGCATTTGGTAGGTAGTAGAACTCAGGAAGAGCCAGACGAGGATGCATTGGGAGCTGATACACAGTCTAATCTGCTGAGCAGAAATTAGAAACCTTTTCCTCAAGTGTTTGAAATTTAGTTGGTGTGTGCGTGTTAACGAACAGATACATAAATAAATATATTTTCATCTCTGAAATCAGTCAGTAAAGGCAGAAGATGCCTTATAATGAAGGATTATGACCCTTACCCAGAGTTGCTTGTGGGACTTTGAGTGTCATCATGAGCTGCCCCTGTCCCCAATTCCCCTACCCTCTGAGGTGGCACCTGTCTAGAAGTCTGAGTTAGTCTTTTCCAGAGTTCCAGATTGGGGACTTAAGGGTACCCAGAGACACAAAAGAAATAGAGAAGTCCAGAATGTTTAAATAAGGTCACCACCAAATGCGATCATAGCTGAGGAGTCAGATATCATCAACCAGCGACTCCCTTGGTCCAAGTCCACAAGAGCCTTCTGGTCTTCTACCAGATCACCTCAATAAAGACTCTGTTGAAGACCTTGCAACCCGTGTCATGAAGGAATCCTCCCAACTCTGCACCTTCCAGACCAGGAGTTCAGGAAGTGCCACTATGAGGATGTAGCTGGGCCCAGGAGATGTCTTCAGACGTCTCTAGGAGTTTTCTGGACAGTGGCTGAAACCCAACATTCATACCAAGGAAGAGCAGATTGTGGAAATGCTGGTGCAGAGTAATTTCAAACAGTCCTACCTGAGGAGCTCAGAGCTTGGAGGCAGAGATGTCAGCTTGGGGTTGGGATTACCGGCTGAGTACTGCTGCTCCCTTCTGCTCAGCCTACATGTGAGAATTAACCAAAGGTTCTCTTTTTTGCAAGAATCAACTGCAGTCATGAGAAATATGAAGCTTGGTTTTGTTTGAGCTTACCTTTAACTAGTAGTAAGGACCAATCAAAGGATCATTCAGAACCCATATCTGGACCTCTTTTTGCTGAAGCAACTCTGTTTCTTGGACGGTGAATTCCAGAAGGAGTTCTCTGCTACCTTCTTAGACAGTTAGCCTGACACTATTTTTGCTCTGCTGAATGCCTCCTTTTCTTCACTTTGACATGCTTTAATGCTTTTAATGTATCCAAAGAGGTAATTGCTTTAACTTTCAGAGTTCTTGATTCTTGCCTTGTTGGCATGAATGGGAGTTTCTGTTACCCCATCAGTAACATACTTGAAATATTAAAGATGTTTGGTTCGTAACAAAAATAAATAAATGAATAAACAAATAAATATTAAAAGAAAAAAGAAGTAGGATTATGGAATGATGTAGTCAAGATAGCCAGATATGTGAACCCATTTTCTATAATTCTTTGTGAAATCCTAATCCCTAAATCATAATGCATATATACACTATGAAGTGAGTTCATGTTCTTGTATACCAAGTTGATCTATAAGTTGGATAATTTTAGAAAAGATGACTTTGGGAGATGTATTTTGAAATTTTAGTGGAGTTTGTATTTGATAATTTTGTTTTTTTGGAAAGGAGAGTGCAATTTGGAGATACAGCAAAACTGAGAGAAATTAGCTAAATTTCTGGGCTCGTCTGTCATTTTAGGCTCCAGCAGGAGGAAATGGTGCTGAGAATGTTGCTCCTGACCAGGCAGCTAACCCACCAGCTGAGAATGCAGTGGTGGGGGAACACCCCGATGCCCAGGATGATCAGGCAGAAGAGGAGGAAGAGGAGAATGAGGAGGAAGATGACGCTGGTGGGGAGGATGCAGCAGATGCCAACAATGGGGCCCAGGGTAATGGCTGCCAGCCTCTCTTCTCCCTTCCTTCATGACCATGAGTCCATTCCCAGCTTGCCATGGGAGGATTAGGACTTTATAATTTAGTGGGCCTGCAGTTCTTTTTCTAATCTATTTTTACCTTATTTTGACAAACTTTCACATATAGATCTACACATTTTTTTCTATGAGGGGCACATTTTGTGTTTTAAGATACTGTTTTACATAGGACTTTTACAGGGTGGATAGGAAGAAATTACTGTAGGTTGCAATGGAGCTGTTTTTTTTTTTTTTTAAGGAATTTGCTAGATTTCCTTTTTCCTTTGCCATTTCTATTGAGTCAGTGCAACTTTATATCAAAGAAGAAATCTTGACGTGTACCCTGCAGGCCGGATGCCACCCAAAGAAAAAACCAATTCCTCATTTGCTAGCAGTGTAACTCCAGAATGCAAAGGAAGATCTGGGACTGAGCCCGCTAGTTAGCTAGCAGCAGCTCACCACCTCCTTTTTTTCTCCTCCCACCCCCAGGTTTTCCTGTCAGGTGCTGTACTATGTCTGGTATCTGAGTGTTTCCCCTGTGCCAGGCACTCAGACAGCAGGCCCCTGCCTTCATGGAATTTCTGATTTAGTGAAAGAGGAGGAATGCCCAAGTGAATGAATTTACCATTGTACACCATGTTGAATGTTGTTGAACAGGTTGCTCTGAGGATGTGACTGAAGAGAGAGCTATTTTAAGTAAGATTCCCTGGTTATCTCAGAGTAAGTGATATTTGAGCTGAGACCTGAGAAGAAGTGAGTTGTGTAATGGCAACAAGGGGCCTTTGCATGGAGAGGCGAGCAGATGTTCCAAGGCTCTGAGAAGACAGCCAGCTGCTCCCCTAGTGCCTGTATCATATCCTTCCCTTGGCCTGGTGCGGGTACTCCTTGCTGGTCTTCCTTTTATTCTTGTTCCACTGGATTTTTACCCACATGGGATCATAACTGCTGTCTGCCTTTAAAATCTTGCAGTGGTGTTTTCATTATTTTAAAGAACAAAACGAAGTCCAGGCTTCACATTCCTCTTAGGTGATCTGAGCTCTGCCTGCCCTTCACACTGTATTTCCCGTCATCTTCCTCCTCACCCAGAGAATTCTAGTCCCCTGGCTTCCTTCCTTTTCACAAATTCACCAGATTCATTCCAGAGCTATTGAATTTTCTCTTTCATATAACCCTATTTATTTTCTTTCTAGCACTTACAATGATTTAGAAGAATCACCTTATTTACTTTTGTTATATGTATTCTTATTGCCTAACAAGCAGATACTCAATATGGTAAAATTTTAGGTGTGGTTTAGCCTCTCAGCAGCAGCTTTGAAAACACCAAAGTAAAAGAATGCGTTCTTATTTCCTATAATTCAAGTTCTATCAGTAATCTCTAATTTACAATTACATTTCCAGATGACATGAACTGGAATGCTTTAGAATGGGACCGAGCTGCAGAAGAGCTAACATGGGAAAGAGTAAGACTTCTTTTTATCAAGTGTCCTAGTATTTTGATCCTGTAGTATATTTTAAAGTTGGACATATATTTAGACGTATACACTAATTATGTAGTTACACTTAATGAAAACTTCAATAGAACTTTAATTTCTAGAGAAAACTAAATGATATGTTGTTTGTGGTGAAAATACTAAAAACATGATGATATAGGAATGATTCTTTTTCTGTCTTCTGGCTTTTAATACAAACCTTAGGCTCCATGTAGGGTATGTTTAACCTGAAATTATGAACTTTCAAAAAATGATTTAACAATTTAAATTGAGGTATTCTAATGTTTCAGTTGACAAAAAAAAATAGAGTTTTAGTCATGAAATCTTGACTGGCTCCATATCTAATGTAAAAATTAAGCACAAATAGAAATTTTCAACTTTATAATAATATGATTTGGAATAAAAGGAGACCCAAAATATAAAACCTCTATAAACAGAAGTTTTTACTCTCTGAAAATGATAGACTGTATTGGAAACTGGGTAAAGGACTATGTTTGAAGATACTGAAAGGAAAATGGTCCTTTTTCATAAATAGAATAAAAAAATCCTGTTGAATCTTGAATTAATATATATTATTATTTATTTTAGATGCTAGGACTTGATGGATCACTAGTTTTTCTAGTAAGTAAAGCTAATATATTTTTAATAAAGTTGTGGCTTATTTATCTGAGTGATTCGATATGATTTCAAATGTATAATATATACTGGCTTTTATAGTAAAGATCAGAATGTCTTTGATGTCAAAGGAAGTCTTTGTTTTGTATATTGAAAATATTGGCAGAGCCATAAAGGTTATATTATTTAAAAAATTAATTAGTAAGTACTTGATTTTTAGAAAGAAAACAGAACACAAAGTTAATGGTAGTTAAGAAGAACATGTTCTTTTTTAAGTTCCACCTTGCAATGTTTAATACCTGAACTAATGAAAACAGGACAGCTTTAAGCCATTCACTGTAAGAGCCTCAGGTGGTCATAGGTTTCCACTGTTTGCTGAACCCCCACCTAATCAGTAAAAAGTACAACTCAAAGGTGGGGGGCAATTCTTTAAAGAACCTGTTCTTCAAAGGAAAAATGCTGCTTTCAGATTCTGTAATACAAAACCACTTGTCATTTGGGATTTTAAATAGCTTTGGGTATCAAGATGATTTTGACTGCAGGTAGCATAAGCCCTGTTGACTGAAACAGTGGGAAGAGGCAGTCCAGAGGAAGGATGAGCTCAGGGGTGCTTGATCCAGAGACCCAACCATGTCATCAGAGACCCAAATAGTTTCTGTCTGTTTCCTCTGTTCTCTGTGGTGTTGTGTTGGCTTCCTCCTTGGGCTGGTTCCAAATGGGAGCCAAAATAAGAAGTTGAGGTTGATGGTGTGAGGATGTGAGGAATGTATTTGGTGGCACAGATTAGTGAGAATGGGATATTAGTGTGCTCCTACTCATGGTCTGATCAAGGTCAACATAGAAGGTGTTACTTGGCTACATACTCATTTATATCCACCTTGTCAGTCTCATGGATAAATGACAAGCAGTTGCTAAGGCAGTAGTATTGTCTCATATCCATTCTAATTATTGGAAAAAAATGTTCACAGGATGACTCTATTCATAATGAAAATTATTTTTAGTATCTACCCTTGCCACCTATTGTGATAGTTACTGGGAGATTCGTGGATTAATGAAATAAGGTCCCTGTTCCCAAAGATGCTTTATGATTTAGTGGAGAAAGATGAACATGTAAATAAGGAACTTTGGAGGTACTGGGTGACAAAAGTGGTAAGAGGTGTGCATAGGGTACAAGAGGCACAGAAAAAAAGGCTTGGTTAGGTCTGTCTGAAAGCAGGGGAATCTGTCAGCCAGGAATTTTTTAGTTTGAGGCACCAGCTATGTTGGAGAGGACAGTTTGGGGGCCCTTGAGGTAGAAAAGCTGAAAACATTCAAGTGATAGGAGCCGGTGTGCAGTGATTAAGAAGGTAGCAAACATCTCTTGGGCAAACTAATCTCCTTTCTTGCCACTTGGATTTGTGGCAAACTGGGGCATGATCAGATTGATCTGTTTAAAAAGCAAATCTTACAGTGTTGACCCCTTGTGGAAGGACCGTTTAACCTGACAGTGGTGGGGAGATGGGCCTGGACATTTAGTGAGTGTCGGCATGGAGCATGACTAAGGTGTATGTGATGGGAGGGGTAGCAGGCATCTTGGAGGTGATAATGCAGCTGACAGTGAATCAGCAGCCATGGGAGAGTGAATATTCTGAGACATGAACAAAGAAAATCAGCATGCCACAGGGAGTGAGCAGGCCAGAGAAGCCATGAAAGAAGCACAGGGCAGCTTACATTGGTATGTTGTTCAAAATTAATGTGGTTTTCAGATTTTTCTCCTTTTGGAATTTTTCAGTGTCATTTAGTTAAAGTGAAACCTGGTAGTTACTTATGACAATCCATGTAGTTTGTGGTGGATTATTAATTTTTAAAGAGATGTTTATGGATTGGTTTCTTTGATTTTTTGCGACATGCAACATTATAAACTTGGAGTTTTATTAGGTTTAGTTTTGTGAGGTATCTAAAGAAAAATAAGATGCATATAATAATTTCTGGAATGAAATCTCAAAATTACAGAGTGAAAATTTTAGTCTAAGTGGAGTAGTCAGTTAAACATGTATAAAATAGGAATTGAATAGTTTATTAATGCTCTTTTCCTTTAGGAACATGTCTTCTGGGTGGTGTCTTTAAACACACTGTTCATTCTTGTTTTTGGTAAGTGGCATTCATGCTTTTATTCATGGTAGTATGGTAGGAGCTTCATTTTCTAGGAGCCTTATTGTAGGTTTTGTTTTTGTTTTTGTTTTTAAACATAGGACCATATGAAACATGTTCAGATGGTAATCTATTTAGGAAGGTGCGAGATATACAGATACTTTTTCTCCTGGGCAACATTGACCACAGTTACTACAACAGAGTTCTGTGCCTCTTGGGCATTCCCATCTCTTTTTACAGAAGCCAGTTTTAGACTGACTTGAGAATATGTAATATCTCACCTCTGAAATTAATATTGTGCTTATTGTCTGGGTGTTCTTCCTTATGGAAGATCTTGTTTTCATCTGTCAAAATGCTGACCAAGGCCTTACCAGAGACCCTGGCTTGGGAGCTGTCACCAGAGATGGAGAGAGGCTTGAGAGAACATAGTGATCAACCAACCCCCAAGTGTGAAACTCCCTTAGAACCAGACTCCAGTAAATGTGAAATCACTTGCAAACACTTTCACAGTCATAGTTAGAGGGTTCTGTCACAGTACACAGGAGCCCTTTCCACCGGGAATAATTAGAGAAGGGGAGGCTTGTGGAGACAGAGTTGACATACTTTTCTGCTTTGGGAAGATAAGAGAAACAGTCAAGTAAACCAAGGCCTTAGAATTTAATGCCTGCATTTCTTGAGGGAAAGAAGGTGGAATCTGACAATATCGGGCTATTGTTAGACTGTGCTGTGACTTGCATTTCATAATGAACTTTGGGCTACAAATCTCTCTAGCGGGGTGATCTTTGAGAATTTCCTTCCTTAGTGCATGTGAGTTACCCCTGAGTTCTGCTGAAGAGGAGGAATAAAAATTTTCTAAGATTCCTCCACTGAATTCCAAGTTATTTGCTCTGTTGAGCACTGTATTGTGACTCAGAAAATAGTCGTTTTAAACAAGAAGTCATGTGGTCAAAAGACACTGAATATGTTGATTTGAGGATGTGGCAAAAAATTAACTTCTGAATATTATCTATGAAAGAGCAAAAGAAGTTTATAGATACGTTGTTGAAACAATGTCTTGAAAAGGTCCATTGATTTTTAATTCTAGTAGATACTTTAGATGGTACAGATTAACAGGAAGTTCATTCTTGTTGCCCCTTGCATATGGGGGCAGAAACGTGTTAGCAGATTATTCTGCATATATTTTTCGTTATGTAAAATAATTGATATATAGACTGCGAAACTGTTTTGATTTTGACCAAGTTCTCTTTGAGAGAAAAAAAATAACTTACAGAATTTAGTCTTTGCTCTTGCAAGAAATACCTAATGTTAATGTCAGGAGGAACAAGTCACCTTTGAAACGTGAATTGTAGAAATAAGAACGTTCATTTACATAAAGCAAGTCTCATCTAAATAAATTTTTTTCTTACTGAACCTCCCAAGTATATACTACAAAAAAAATTTGTCTAATTAACTTAAATACATTATACTTGGGATATTTTGAAATGAAACAAGATGTTTTCCTCTTTTCAGGAGCATACTTTTCCTTTCAGGTGAACACAGTGGGATTAAGCACACGTTTTTTCCTCCTTAGGTCGCTCTACTGCAGTTTGTCACTGGCATATTTTGGACACTAGTGGTCATGTACTTTGCAAAATATGACTTTACAATGCTTTTGTCTCCCATAGAAGGGAGTGAGAAATTAACTTTAATTTCAGGATACATATCTAGTGGTTGCTGCCTAATGGAGTAGAAATTGTTGCAATCGGGGCTTCAGGTTATTTACATACATAGAGTTGAAACTTGAAAATTTGCCTTTCCCAGTGGCCTGAGTCATCCTCAGAGTCAAAGTAGGAAAAATTTTGCATATAGTTTTTTCTTACCCTTTAAAGTTTCTTGTGCTTTATAATACACATAATGTATTAGTGAAATAATTTGTGTGTATAATTTTTACATATATTTAAATATGTTGGGAATAACTGTTCAAAACTTTCTACCCATGGAATACTTGATCCAAAAGGTTTGGTGGCTAAATTCCTATAGAGTCACTGACTTTTGTCTTCATGATTGAGGTCCCCTTCCCCTTTCCCTAATAATCTATACTGTTAAATTATTTTTGCCATAAAGAAAGGATAATTAAATTTTATTATGAAGAACAAATTAAAATTTTATTGACATGGCAAGAAAGACTTGAGAACAAACTATGAAAATTCTTAATATGAAAATATTTATGTTTTCTTATTGAACTGTAATATCACACTTTACTAAATAATAGAACTTAATATTTCCTGATAATACACCATATGAAAAATTCTTAGATTGTTTTTGTTTGAATGAAGATCCATTAAAGCCAACACATTGACTGTTAAGTCTTAAATTCCTTTTGTTCTAGAATACTCTTCTCTTTGCTCCTCTCATCTGCCTCTACCCTGTGGTGCCATTGATTTGTTGGAGAGACTAGGTTAGCTATCTGCAGATGCCTCATGTTCTGTTTGTCCTGTTGCTTCCTGCTGATGCCCATGGGACAAAATTTCTACTGGTCTTGCTTTTGCCTATTAATATGACGTATCAGGAGGGAGATGATGCCTGGTTATCCACCTTTGTTGGTGGTACAGGTGGTGGTATCTTGAAGACTCTATTGTGAGGTTTCATTTTTCCCGTAACCTTAAGAAAATAATCTGCAGGGGGTTTGTTTTAGTATCATGAAAGTATCTAGTGTTACATCACCATTTCACCTAATGGCTTTATTACCCTTGATGATACTTGCCTGAAATAGTTTATTCTATTAGGCATTGCAAAATGGTGATTTTCAAATTCTGTCATTTTTTAACCTCTTGGCTGGTTTTTCTGTTAAGAAGAACTTGTTTTTATCAGCTAGAACTGTTTAATTAACCTGAACTTGTTTGTCCAGAAGCAGCAGGACAGATGTGCAGTTTTTTCTCTTCATAGTTTGCAGGTTAAGGAATTGATGCACTAACTACTTTCTTTGGTGATGAAAGTGTTTTCTGTTACATTGCTTTTCTCCATTTTGTGGTTTTTGTTTTTGGTTTCCCTTCTTTGAATATTATGAACTCACATATTTTTGTATGTATGCTGTGTGTTTCCATCAGTTTTAGTCATTATTCTTTTTGATGCTCATATCCTCTCTTTGGTCTGTGTTTGCCATACACCTATTAGATTTTGATAACTTTGTTGTTTTCTGGTTATAGAGAATGTCCCAGGCAGTACATTTTTGGCCCTGACTCTTGAGTTCTTCCATTTCTCCAAGAAGCTCTTGTTGTTCCTTTTAGTGGGGGTTGGTACTAGGAGTGTTCATTGTTTTGATTTTGAAATTTTCATTGAGTCTTTTTCTCCCCCTTTTAGCATTTTGCCCTTACCACATTGGTCATTTCTCCCTCGTTGGTTTGGGATTTGAAGAACACGTGAGTATAAATACTTTTAAAAACTTACTTATTAATTACCTCCAAATTTGATGTTTGTTGAGTAAGTAATAATGTTGTAAAGAGTTACTTCACTTCTCAGTCTGTCTTATGCAAAGGGAATAGTTGTCCAACATAGTCTCGTTCTTCTCTTTTAAACTAACAGTGGCTCAAGACACACAGTAGGTCATGTTGTGAGCTTAGGAAGATGTGCTCTGAATCCCATGATGAACTCACTGTCTTTTTCCAGTTGGGCGGGCCAGAGTCCTACTGCAGGGAAGTTTTCTTATAGGCTGATTTTTGACCGGTGCCATTAACTCCTATGCTCCCTTCTCTCCTGTTTCCCCAGCTGCCCCATAGTGAATTTAGAAATGTTACAGTATGTCAGTCGATTAAAAAAAGGTTTGGTCTGTCTTGGAATGATGGGCTGTAGTGTTTCCTAAAGAATTTGTTTTAATTTTGAAATTATATCATTGATTTTCACAGGTAGATAAGTGTTTGCATGGACAACAACTATTATGTTTTTGGAAGGGGCAACCCAGAAAGATTTAGTCTTTTTAGGGAAGAGCTGACATATCTGGAAGATTCTGTTCAATTTGTATATGTGAATCCTGAGATACCACATTCCAAAGTTTTATGTAAGGGAAAAGAGTCATGTGCTATTATTTAATACTGATTTTCCCTAGTTCTCTGAATTCTCACTAGTTGAATGTAGGAACGTGGAAGGTTCAGATAGATGCTTTGTTAAGTTTTGACTTCTCCAAACTTTGGCCGCTTCCAAGTGCAAACTCTTACACTTTGTAAGTTGAGAATGGAACAAATTTGGAGAGCAAGGGAAACGTAACAAAGTCACATCTAGGGTAGGAAATGGGGTGGCTAGGGCATCCCTGCCAGGAGCATTGTGTGGACAACATGCTGTTCCTGTCTGCACTCAGCCATTAGCAAGGCCACCTCAGAGTGGAGGAGAGTGCAGACTATTGTATTACAGCTTCTTATTTTTGTAAAATTTATTTCACTCTACTCTTACTTTGTCTACTTCAGTAAAATGTAATTCTTTAATTTTTCCTCACCCATTGGTAATAGGTAGCAGTCAGTGGGGGAGTCTGTCTGGCAGAGATGTCATCCAAAGGGATTTTACAGTTGTTTTCTAGTTATAGATTGCCTAGACGGTTCAGTTTTAGTCTGAGTAGGTTGTTTTGTGCATTGTTAAACTGGGGTGTAGGTCATGTGGTAAAATTAAACCTCTTCTTTGTTATTTCCAGGTCCAAGCATCTCATTTTGAAGGCCTAATCACAACCATAGTTGGTTATATACTTTTAGCAATAACGCTGATAATTTGTCATGTATCCTTTCGTGAACCATCTTGTGTGCTTGGTAATGTTATTCATATCAAAGGGAAGTTCCTGTTAAAAACAAAACTATTTCCCTTTTTCCTCTCTAAGTAAAAGTTGTAGGTATTTGTAGTAAGGATGAGGGCAGACAAAATAGGAAAAAAGTCAGTTCTGTCTATCAAATAATATTAAGTGTTACCTAAATGATTACCTTTGTTGTAGTTTTCAATGCTCAGTTTTTCCTTGACTGGATGCTGTAGGGCTTGGCAACTCTTGTTAAATTTCATAGGTCTCGTCGCTTGCTAGGAGTCTGCTATATTGTTGTTAAGGTAATTCTTGTTTTAAAAGTTAAAACTGGATGATTTCTTCCCATTTGGGTGATATTGATGACCTGTATTTTTACTTAAGGTCTCTTTGTTAGTGGTCGTGGAAATTGGAGTGTTCCCTCTCATTTGCGGCTGGTGGCTGGATATCTGTTCCCTGGTGAGTTTATTATTCATTATCATACCTAATAAAGGCTTTAAAAAAGATCTTTAGGAATGATTTCTTTTTAAAGTGAAGTTAATATTTGATGATAATTTTTTTTTTCTGAGAATGTTATCATTGTGGAGTCTTAATGTTGCTAATTTTTCTTGAGTACCTGTGTTTGAAGTTTTGTGCAAATTTCTGATGTCAGAATATTTTGACTGGAACCTTTCTAATAACCAGTGGAGAATTTTAAGTTTTACTATAATGCCAAGATGATGTAAAAAAGAGCAATCTGATAAGACTGTCTTTGTAGTAATTCAACCCTAACCATTTGTTTTGACTAATATACACAATCTTGATTATAGTCTTTAATGCCTGTCAGTGATCATCAGTTTTTGACTTTCCCAAAAATACTTCATATGTGGAAAAGCTGCCTGTAGTTCTAAGATGACATTTTCTTCCAAACCTTACTGTAATTTGTCAGGAATTACATACCTGTAACCAAGAAAAGAGGGTATTGTTAACCAAATCACAGTAGCAGTATTAGGAAAGTTCTTATTCGCCAATTGGTTTATCAATCTTGTTATATTTACATTTTTTTAAAGTGTTTGAAATAGTATCATATATTTCCGTGACACCATTAAATGGCATTAAGTGAACTGGAGTCCTAGAACATCATAACCTACATGCATATTTATTCACTTTCTGGAAGATAGAGATGTTAATTTGGCAAATGTAAGTGGTATAAATCTTTCTCACCTGTTTATTTTGATTCAGGAAATGTTTGATGCTACTCTGAAAGATCGAGAACTGAGCTTTCAGTCAGCTCCAGGTACCACCATGTTTCTGCATTGGCTTGTGGGAATGGTGTATGTGTTCTACTTCGCCTCCTTCATTCTGTTACTGAGAGAGGTAAGTCCTTCCTGTAGGAATGTGACCATGCGGTGTATTTTGAAAGAAACATTTGTTTTAGCCACAAGTTATGCCTCAAAGGCTATGGTGATTTCCTAACTAAATCATTTTCTCTGTTATTTGTTCTAAGAGGGAACTACTGATAGATGAGCTTGGCTCAGTTGCTTTAAAATGTTTTCAGTCATTTGTCTCAAAACCTGACAAGTTTGAATATTTCTGTGTATAATTAGGTATGAGTATGAAAGATGAATAGACTGAGGGAAAAAAATAAAAGTACTTATTTTAGTTGGTATGTATTATCATCCTTTACTCAAATTCTCTGTGATGTGAGCCTGTCTTAGACTTCATTCAAGGAAATATAGTGCTGGAAATATGCAAAGGATATGGTGTTGCAGGATCAGGTATATAAAATGGTCTTGAAGCAGGCACTGTAAGTACAGAGTTACAGTGAGGTTCCTTTATGATTCTAGTTCACTTGTCAAGGGGGTACCTCTACTAATCCTATTTTTAGAACAAAGTCCTTAGTGATTGAAGGCAGTGAAAATGAGGTCAGTATTTGATGAGTGTATATCTCCTGCTGAGTCATTGTAGACCAATAGGAAGTATAAAATGGAGTAATTCTGATGAGTCTACTTGCTGCTGTGCATTCTTTCCCCAAATATTACTGCATTTGCTCACTGTGCATATGGTGGGATAATGGTGAGAAGCAGACAGGATGCTCTTTGATTTTACATCTGAGGAAGGACTGCAGCCATTGAACAAGTCAACTTACTCCTTTAAGAGCAGTGGTAGAGATGTGCAAGCCTGGAATGAGCAGGCCAACTACTCCCAGTGTGTGTGGCACACAAAATCACAAAGCCTTAATGCTGTTCTTGGCGTTCTTTGCTCTTTCAGAGATTTGAAGAGTTTGGAAGGGGCCTGAGACTACAAGCTCTATTTGCAAATAGAACACTTTTTTCTTTCTTTGAAAGAAGTGATTGAGACTAACCCAATATAGTCATTTTTAAAGTTGTAATTATTTGTGACCTCTAAATTACATTAAGTGATAACACACTTTATACTGAATGTTTTCATTTTATCAACGTGGTGGGTTTTTTTAAGACAGAATCATAGTATATGGGAGTAGATGGAACTTTACAGGTCATATAATATAATAACCTCATTTGGAAGAAGGAAAAATCAAGTTGGGGCAAATGAAGTGCTCTGCACAGGGTAACTCAGTGAGTTTGGACCACCCAGGACTAATATCCAGACTCATCCATTACCCCATCACCCACAACCTCTTGGGTTGATGATTCCCACTGAAAGGGGAAAAAAAAGTTGATAGTAAAATGAAGATAATGGGAAACTGTAGTGTTTCTTAATTAACATAATTTCTCTTAGGAAGTGTAAGACTGAAGTTAGATTTTTCTCTTTGGGACATTTATAAATTGCAACCTAATCCTTTCACCAGATGATAAATACAGTAACAGTTTATTAAAAAATACTTGATTTTCGTCTTGGAAATCTAGATTTCTTGACAAATTGTACTTAATAAATTTTTTTTCATTGAATGATTAAAAACATCAAACAGGATAGTTTTCATAAAAATTCTGATTTAGGAATTTCTTTTCCCAGAAAAGCCATATGCAGTTTTGGGGGTCCATTTTATTAAGATGGCAAAATAATTTTAAGAGGTTATTTTTCTGTTCATGTTTTAGCTCATTTGCAGAGCCTGAAGACAGGTGGGTACTTAAAGTGTTTAAATATATTTGCAGGTACTTCGACCTGGTGTTTTGTGGTTTCTAAGGAATTTGAATGATCCAGATTTTAATCCAGTACAAGAAATGATCCACTTGCCTATTTATAGGCATCTCCGAAGATTTATTTTGTCAGTGGTAAGAATACCTTTTTACTGCTTTTGAAGTAAAGTGTGCTAGCTAATCCAACTTGATTTAACATTATGACCTTAGTTTAGGCGTTCTAATTATTCTCCATTTATCATTCATTCTTAATGTCCCTGCCTCTTCCTGCACACTCTACATGATGATGTCTGGGGACTGATAGAATAGATTGAATAACTTATGTTTATCTAAGCCTGTGTTACTTGGTTAAGTAGGTGTTTCATTGGTTACGTCTACTAAAACAAAAATGCCTTCTAGTTCTTCAGTCGTATACTTGATTGCCAACTTAGAGGTTTCTGGTTTACATTTAATTTGCATTAAAGGAATAGATACTCATTAACTTCTTTTAAGTTAAACTCTCAACAGAAGCATCTCAAACTTTCTTCCCCACCTGGAAGAGAAATTACCTAGTTAAAGTTTTTCTAAAATAAAATTCCAAAAGCAATATTGTGCCCTTTGGAAATTTTTGTAGCTGATAATAAGGATTATGTCTTATAATGGTCACAGGTGACTTACTAAGTCGCATACAATTCTTATCCTTCATTATGAGTTTCTGACTTTCTCATCACATACCATGCAGTGATTATCCTTTGTGGCTCCAGCCCTGGTGTCCTAGAGAGAGAGAGGAGCAGCTGTCCCAGGAACACGTTATTTACCCAGAGTGACCCAAGCATAATGTGTTGTGTCAGATGGTGTAGACTTGGACTACATCTTGTTTGAGTATATTCAGAAGTCGGCATGTCTCTCCCTGGAATGATTGACAGTGCAGTTGGAAATGGTCCTGCCCTTCCTCTTCCTGCAGATTGTCTTTGGCTCCATTGTCCTCCTGATGCTTTGGCTTCCTATACGTATCATTAAGAGTCTGCTGCCTCATTTTCTTCCATACAATGTCATGCTCTATAGGTAAGTTTGAAAATCAGAAGCTTTACTAATTTAACTTTGTTATGGATTTGATATTCAGAGTATGTACAGTTAAAATTCATTTCTTATACGTACTGGTTATCATTTGATAGCTAAATTTTGCCATGTTCTAGGTCACATAAATATTAGTTTAGCAGTTATATTTTCCAAAGGAAGACAGACTTTATTTTCCTGCCAAAGAAGTGTGCCTTTATTTAGCATTGAAATGTTTACCGTACCTAATCAGACTATGTTAGTAGCATATGTTTATATGAAAAGCACATCAGAAGGAATGTGGCCATAGCTGCACATTTAATTATGAATTAAAAACAGGATATAAGGCTTATAAATGGAAAATCTTTTTTATTTAAAAGCAAAAGTACCTGAAAACTAGTCTCCACCACTCCTTTTTTCCCTTTTTCAGTCACTTGTACTATTCCTCAATCATCTACACCAAAACTCTGCCAGGCAAATTGGATTTCTTCCTCATATTTTGTTCTGATTAGTCTTTAAATCTTATTAATTCCAGTTCTTTAAGATCTCTTATCTAATCCAACTTGATTTAACATTTATGACCTTAGTTTAGGCGTTTTAATTATTCTCCATTTATCATTCATTCTTAATGTCCCTGCCTCTTCCTGCACACTCTACGTGATGATGTCTGGGTTAATTAGAGTAACAAACAAGGCTTGGAATAATCTCATGCTGCCTTTCCAGCATCTTGTCTCAGCATTGTCTGACTTGAATTCTACTCTCTAGACATGCTCAAACCCCATCAAATCTCAAATCTGCCCATAAACACCAGGCTGTTGCTTGTCTTTCTCTCTCTTGTTTGGAATGGCCTTCTTCCCCATGTTTGTTATCTGTCTTTCCTCAAATTCCAAATCAAGGTTTTAGTCTCTGAGCCTTTGCCTAACCATAGAGTAAAATCACCATCTCTGTATGTATGTGGGTCTGGTCATAGTGAGGGCCAGAGAGCCCAGGTTCTGGCTTTATATGTTGGGATACACCCATTTTGGTAGTCAGCTACACCTAGAAGTGTAGCTAGGTTTTTGTGCTGTATACAGTATTTAGTCCATTCTTACATACAAAATTGAGGGCCCTGTATATGCCAGATACTTTTCTATGAACTAGAGAGAGAGGCCATTGTACAAAATAGAGTCCAGAAAAATCTCTGCCCTTGTAGAGTATACATATCAGGGGGGAGACAGAAATAAGATAGATAAAATATGTGATGTGGCAGAGAGTCACAAGTACTGTGGGGAAAATGAAGTAAAGAAAGGGGATAGAGAGTGGCCAGGATGGTGTTGTCATTTAGAAGTGACTGGTGAGGATCTGGGGAGGTGATGGTTGAGGAATGCCCTGAAGGAGGTGATGAAGGAATGGGCTTTGGGGATCCCTGAAGGCAATATTCTTGCAGGTAGTCGAGCAGTACAGTGGCATCAAGTCTGTTTGAAGAGCAACAGGGAGGCCAGTTTGGCTGCAGTACACAAAGGAAAGCAAAGTAGTTGACCATGAGGTCGAAGAGGTCTTGGAAAGCCAGATTCCAGAGAGCCTCATAATGCCACTGCAAGCACCTTGACTTTAACTTGAGTGGTTTGAGAAGTTCTTGGAAGGGTTTGAGCAGAGGAGTGATCCTACGTAGATGTAATGAGGAGCACTCTGGCTGCTGGCATCAGGGTGGCCAGTGCAGAAACAGGAAACCAGCTGGGAGGCTAATGCAGTGGTCCTGGTGAGACGTGAGCTTGGCTGAGATGAAGGAAGTAACAGTGGAGGTAGGAAGTGGTTGGAATTGGGATATTGTTAGAGTACAGCCAACAGAATTCTCTGGCTGTTTGAGTGTGGGGTGAAAAGCATGCCGTCAGTGATTTAAGTTTCTGTCTATAGCATCTGGAAGGATGGAGCTGCCATTTGTGGAGGTGAGGAAGGCTGTGGAGGAGCAGGATAAATGGGAAAGTGGAACTCTGATATTGAACATGATCAGGTTAAGATATCTAAATGACTGCATGAAATTTTGAGTTGGCCCTTTGGATAGGTAAGTTAGGAGTTGGAGAAGGTGTCTGAGTACTACCTAGAAATTTACAGACAGGTAATATTTTAAGCCATTCAAGGTTGCATTCATCCATAGAGCACCTGGAGGTGAGAGGAGAAGGGACAGAGCATGGGGCCTTTCACTGTTGCAGGTTGGGTAGATGAAGCGGAGCCAGTGGGTCTTGGGAAGTCATTTGAGGAGAAAGTGTTTTGCAGAGCAAGTAGTGACCAGTTGTGTAATATCTAGACCTGACCATCGGATTGAAGAGAATGAAGTTTACTAGCGACCCCTTGTCAGGAACAGTTTTGGTGCAGTTTGAGGGAGAGGCCTTGCTGGCTTCAAAAGAGAATGGAGGTGAGGTGATACAGACAGTGAGTTTATTCGCTGTCATCCCATTAAATTTTTAATATGATATAGTTATAATGGAAAATGGAATTCACATCGTAAATTATGGCTCTTTGTAATTGTCTTAGTGATGCTCCTGTGAGTGAACTGTCCCTGGAGCTGCTTCTGCTTCAGGTTGTCTTGCCAGCCTTACTTGAACAAGGACACACTCGGCAGTGGCTGAAGGGGCTTGTGCGAGCGTGGACTGTCACTGCTGGATACTTGCTGTAAGTACAGGCAGGTGACCCGTAGGCATGTCATTTATGTCGGTTTCATAACCTTTCTGACAAGTAAGTTCCATGCCCCACTTAGGAAATACTAGTTTTAATAGAAGATGATGTAGTGATATCTGCAAGTGTATATGATGCTTATTTCCAAAAATTTTACATTTTTCTTTTTCTAATTGTTGTCCATAATTTTATGGAGAATATATGTGTGTTTTTACCCTCTTACACAGGCTTGCTGCTGCCTCAGGTTCTTTTGTTCCGTTTCACAGGGTAAAAATAAGGTGTTTTTTTTTTAGTGCATTAAAAGCAAACCCACTTATCCTTATTTTTGGAGTCTTAACTTGGTAAATGAGCTCTTCTCAGATTTGGTTTCTCATTCAGTCAGCATGTTGCATTTTTTTTGTATGTATATATATTTTACGTATTTATTTAAAAGCCAAATCTTTGTACTTTAAACTTTTTTTTTTAATGTGTGGCATCTTATAGATACTTTAATATGAAATAATGCATTTGGTTGCATTTGATTAATCTCTAAGTGACCCATGCCCCCCTCAGCTGCCTCCTTTTTGCCTTAGCTGGTTTGTGGCTTGGAGGTTGTAGTTGAGCTACATGTCACAGGAGACAGCGTAGCCACATATAGAAAAGAAAAGAAGGTTTTTTTCCCTGAAGATCTCATTGAGTATCTTGTACATTGTACCTTTTTTTTTTTTTCAGTTACTGATTTCTTCTTAGGTAATTAGCTGAAGAAAACATAAAGTAGATTGAATATATGGAGTATTCTGTATGTTAACTAACATTACTTTTGGAAAGGTTCCATTTAAAGCCAGCACCAACATTTACACCAGAAGAGGAAATACTGCTGTGTATAGATTCTCTGCACTTTTTCTACCCTATGTAATAAGTATTGAGAAAGTAAATTTCATGTCTGTCATTTTTATTCTAGTCTGAAGTGAGAAACTGCCTCCTTTTTGCCTTAGCTGGTTTGTGGCTTGGAGGTTGTAGTTGAGCTACATGTCACAGGAGACAGCGTAGCCACATATAGAAAAGAAAAGAAGGTTTTTTTCCCTGAAGATCTCATTGAGTATCTTGTACATTGTACCTTTTTTTTTTTTTCAGTTACTGATTTCTTCTTAGGTAATTAGCTGAAGAAAACATAAAGTAGATTGAATATATGGAGTATTCTGTATGTTAACTAACATTACTTTTGGAAAGGTTCCATTTAAAGCCAGCACCAACATTTACACCAGAAGAGGAAATACTGCTGTGTATAGATTCTCTGCACTTTTTCTACCCTATGTAATAAGTATTGAGAAAGTAAATTTCATGTCTGTCATTTTTATTCTAGTCTGAAGTGAGAATTTTCACTTATATAATTTTTACACAGGGATCTTCATTCCTATTTATTGGGAGACCAGGAAGAAAACGAGAACAGTGCAAACCAACAAGTTAACAATAACCAGCATGCTCGGAATAACAATGCTATTCCTGTGGTGGGGGAAGGCCTGCATGCAGCCCACCAAGCCATTCTCCAGCAGGGAGGGCCTGTTGGCTTCCAGCCCTACCGCCGACCTTTAAATTTTCCACTCAGGGTAGGTACTATACAGACTAAACCAGACGTCGAGGTTTTTCAAATCTCTCAAGAAATTTTGGTGCCTTTGTTGGGGTAGCATGCAATTCTCCTCGCAGGCGTGTCTTACAGTCTCCTGACAAGGACACCAGTGTTAGTCCTCTCCCTGTGCAGCATAGTAAATATAAATGTCAGATAGGTTTGTCTCATTTTAGAAATGTGGCTAGTGTTGGGACTCCATGTGCTGTTGCTCCCTGCTGTTTGAAAGGAACAATATAAAGGACCTAGAGCAAATAAGAAATTAACATTATTGATACATTTCAACTCTGTGTCCTGTGTCAGGACTTGGAATGGGCATTTTAATGTTTTTCTCCGATTTAATTCTCATCCAATACTGCAAACTGTGAGTAGTAGTAGTAATCTCATGTTTGCATCTGATGAAAGTGAAGACCAGATTGGTTAAGGAAGTGCCTGTCCCAGTGAGACTTTGCCCCCAGACTCCACCAAAACTGTTCCTGACAGGGTTTGCTAGTGACTTTTATGTTGTTTAATCTGGTAATCAGGTCTTGGCCCTCATCTCAACTGCTGTATTAGTAGCATGTTACACAACTGGCCACTCCTTGCTGTGCAGAAGTCTTTTGAAAGGTGTCCCAGGAACTTTATGGAGGAGGTGATACCTTTAAGTCTTTCAAGTAGGAAGCCAGAAAGAACAAAATGGAAAGTGGAAAGGGCATTCCAGGCTGTTCTAGGATGGAGGCAGGTTAGACATGGTAGGTTTGTAACTGTTGGGAATTGAATGTACCTATAGGATGGGATGGGGTTTTTTGATTTAAAAAAAAAAGGAATATTTTTAGTTTTACTCAATAGTGAGGGAAAATTTACAGCAAGCAAGAGAAGATGGGAGGAGCTGTGAGAGAGGAGGGGAAGCTGTGAGAGAGAGGCTCTTGGATGGGCAGTGGTCCTTTTGGCCCAGGTCAGAGAGGGAGCTCCTCGGGGGTTCCTCACGCTGTGACAACTCATGGAGCCTCAGACGCTCCTCTGCCCTTGGCGATCAGAAGGCAGGCAGCAGGTACCGCCTCTGCCCAGGGCAGCTGCTTCCCTCTCTCAGCACCTTCCCTTTCTATCTGCACTTCTCAGTTCAGGACTCACCAACTGTTTACACATAAACAGTTCACATGTAAACTTAATTAAAAATCCAGTTTTTAAAGATGTGGTGTGATAGATGTGTTAATTACCTTGAAGGGGGGAATCCCTTCATGGTGTCCAGGTATATCAAATCACATTGTACACTCTGATAGACTGCAGTGTCAGTCATACCTCAATAAACCTGGAAAAGGAAAAAAAAGAGTCCATTTCTTATAGGTAGTATGCATACACACAAAATAAATACAATTTGAAACTGCGTTACTCATTCACTGACCACCTCATGTCCAGCGCTCATCGCCCACAAGTGCTAGTGGCTCTTGTGTCTGTGATGCTGGGGTAGATAGCAACATTGTCAGAGAAAGTTCTAATAGAGACAAGAAGCTTTCCTTTCATGAAAAGTTGGTTTTGAAAATTTGATGAAGTATTCTTGGTTTTAATTAACAGTGAAGGAAAATTTTAATTTAAGCTGATTGTTTTTATGCTTTCCTGTAAAAAAATGTACTTGTTACTTGCTGATATATCTGTTCATAATGAAAATGAACACTTAATTTCTTTTGGCCTAAATTAATTACAGGTAATTTTACGTAAAATAAAAGTTTTCTTTTTATATGAAATGTAGGGAAACCTGGAAATGCAAATATAGGCAATTTCTTCTTACTGAGAGAAATGTGTTGATTCTTTGAGAGGTATAAAAATGTTGAACACATCAACCATTTATGCACTCTTCATGTTTTGCCTTACAGATATTTTTGTTGATTGTCTTCATGTGTATAACTTTATTGATTGCCAGCCTCATATGCCTTACTCTACCAGGTATGAGCTTATCCTAGTTCTCTGCTAATGACATTATGAAAAGATGCTTTGTTTTAAAAGGGCATATCTTGGTCAGATGTATCGTTCATAAAATATAAGTGTAAAATAGTTTTCCCCTTATTTTTGATTGACTGAATATTGATCTGTTTAGGGCTCTTCATCTCATGGGACTTATTTGTATTGGAGCAGAGGGGCACAAAGTCAAGATAGAATTTTTAACACATTTTTGGAATTACAGTACTTGTGGCCACTCAGTATTCATGAACACTGTCTTATTACAGTATGGGTTTTCAAAAGTCATTTCTGTGGCCTCAGTCAGTTTTTCAAGCCAACCATTTGATGTTAATTATTTGTCCTCATTATGTAATTATTTTTCCTGTTCAGTGCCTGTTGTTGCTAGAGAGAGACCTTTATGAAGGCAGACTGATTCCCTTTATCATCTGGTATTCACACATACTAATATTTAAATTTCAGCTAAACAGTGTTTCTTCATCTAAAATGTAAGAAAGAAGCTCTGCATGATACAGTAGTTTGTCGTCTTCTGCAGAGGTCAGGGGTAACTGGGGGTAGAGTCCAAAACCAGTGACTCTGGGGGGGCAGCAACAGCTTGCTGCCCCTGTCCCCCACCTCCCCAGCCCAGGTTGTGCTTAGTGCCAGCCAGAAAATTCTAAATCATGCTGGTATGTATTAGCCATTTAAATGATCATTAAGTGGAAGATAAATTTCAGCTTTTACCAACCATACTAATGTATACTGTGTTAGTATCTTGATTATCGAACCAAGTATAATTTTATAAATCAAATTTCTGTTGAATTTGTTTTCCCATGAGTTTTCTCATGAGGGCTAAGGCTGTGAAGGAACAAGCAGGAAATTTAATTTCAAGTGAGGTTTCTAAAAAAATTTAAAAAATTTTCAAATCTGTAGAAGTTGTGATTTGCCTTAAATTGGTAAAAAAAAAATTTAAATCAAAAATTTTTACTGATTCTGCATAATGATTTCTGACCTCTAGGACTTTGCTCTAATGCTCACTGTTCCTCATGTTACAGCTGCCGAAATGATAAAAGTCAAATTAACCATTGGGTACAATGTAGTAAGCATAATGCTGAGAATACCTAGTTTTTGAACTTAAGGCAGTTTTGTGTTTATGGTTTTTATGTTCCATTTTCACGTTTTTATCAGAGATATTAAGAAAGTTAAAAGAAGGAATCCTAGTTTTAGTAGCTGAGTTTGGCACTAAAAGTACCTTAATTACATTGAAAATTGTTAACAAATATTTCCCTTTAATTCCATCCACCATCTAGAGGAAATGCATTTAGGTTTAATCACAGCAGTCATTGGTGTTATAGTGCACATTTAAGGCAGTGAGCATGCTGTTTTCCTTGACCAGGTTCCATTCCTGTAGCCACAGTTTAATTGATACTAAGTTGCTACAAAGTAAAAACTAACCCTGTCCTTTCAGAAGTACTTTTGATTAGAAGTATATAAAGTATGGTCATTAAATTTTTAAAAACTAACCAACCAAACAATAACAGCAACAAAACACCTTGGACTAGAAATATATGTAGAGAATACTAAACATTTCTACAGAGCAATCAGTGATGATTTTTATAGCTTCAGGTGAATATGCACCAAATGTGTTTATTTTATGTAATATTTACATGTATTTATCTTTAAAAAGAGCTACCTTCACACCTAAGCTATTTTATGAGGTTGCAAAGAAACCTGTGATTATCAGCATGTTATGGCTTGAAAGACTTGCCTGTTGAGTTGGTTTAGTTTGATTGGAGGCTGTGTGATTCAGTGATCAAGAGCATGAGCTTTGTTCATTTCAACCTCCACCTTTGTGTGACCTTGATTGGGCAAAGTTCTATTGGTGAGCCTTGGTTTCTTAATCTCTGAGATGGTAATGGCTGTGCTGGGGGTTGTTGGAAGAATTAATTAGATTATGTATAGAAGATACTCAGCATAGCCAATAGCTCCTTTTAGGTTTTCAAAAATGACAGTATATTGTGTTAAGGAGAAATCAATCCATAAAAAATACACTGGAAATTTGGGTCTTGATGTTCTCTTCTCTCTAGCCTTATTAAGAAGTAGCCATATAAAGAAAGTTATTTAAATGATCTTGCCTGAGAGTTAGATTTTTGTGGACATATTGTAGAATTTATTTGTAATCTGTGAGAGGCAGTCCCTTAGATAGCTCTCAAATCTATTTTCCTAAGTTTCCTAAGATCTAAGTATATTTAGATCTTACTTTTCCCCCAGAAAATTAATATGGTGTCCTTTGATTATTGTGCTTTAAAATGTTATTGTGCCCACTTCCTATCAAAGTAAGCTTAGTTTTCTGTCTTGAACAAACCAATTGAAAGTTACTCTGAATTATTTGTAATATTCCTAAATATTAAAAGTAGTCACAGCACAAGTAATAGAAAATAAGCTCTCCACTTTTTGTCCTTTATGTGCATAATAATTTCATTTGGTGATAAAAACAATGAAAACAACAACCTCCTCAAGGCTTTTCATTTCTGAAAGAACAAGTAATTGGCATAGCTGGTCAGAGTGTGTATCATGGGAGAGCTTATCCCCAGTGACGTACTTACTGTGTTGGTTGTGTCTTAATCAGATAATTGCATTCCTTAGAGTTTTGGTGGAGGGGGCAGATGGAGGTTATTTAGAATGAAGACACTGATGTATTAAGATGTGATGGCTTTTTACTAATCACTTAAAATGATTGAAATGGTTGAATATACTATTAGAACAACATGAACATCAAGATAACAGTTCTCTTTATATAGTCACATGTCTCATTTATCAGCCTTTCTATTTTCAGTATTTGCTGGCCGTTGGTTAATGTCATTTTGGACGGGGACTGCCAAAATACATGAGCTCTATACAGCTGCTTGTGGTCTTTATGTTTGCTGGCTGACCATAAGGGCAGTGACAGTGCTGGTGGCGTGGATGCCGCAGGGACGTAGAGTGATCTTCCAGAAGGTTAAAGAGTGGTCCCTCATGGTAGGTTTTTCTAATAATGACTAATCTTCTCTTGACAGTAGTAGGTATTTTTCTAGTAATTTCTTTAAATCTTATCAATTCTAGAACTGTGCTAATAGAGTAGCCATGTGGCTAATGGCTACCTTATTTAACAAGACAGATACAGGATATTCCTATCATGATATTAAGTTCTCTTGGACTTCACTGTTCTAGAGGGAGCCAATTTGTTCAGCATGATTAATTACCTTAACTAAGGTTATGCGGAGCCCTTCTCTATACCAGTCTACCTCAGAGGTCACGGGTCGGCTTGTGGGTTGGTCACCATTGGATCAGAGGCCTGGGACATTCAGTAGCTTTTCTTGGACAAACAAAAGCCTACTCCTGAGGATGGGGTTGGGAAAAACCACATAGCTACCTGGTTAATATATGTAATAAAATGAATTTTCTATAATTTTATAGCAACATTGGTTAGTAATTTCACATTTTCATTACAGCTTGAGATTTTATAATTATACATTCAAATCTCAAACGTAAAGTAAAGCATGTAAGATGTTTATGGTAATATATTCGTCTGTTAGGCATCATAGTAGAGAAGAAACATAAACTTTCAGATGGAAGAAAGAGTTTGGCCATCATCAGAAAGACTGTCTTTAATAACATGGCTTCCATTTCCTGATAGATAATGAAGACATTGATAGTTGCCATCCTACTGGCTGGTGTCGTCCCACTCCTTCTGGGGCTCCTGTTTGAGCTGGTCATTGTTGCACCCCTGAGGGTTCCCTTGGATCAAACCCCTCTTTTTTACCCATGGCAGGTAAGTATTTATCTTCTGTTCATGATATTTCTTTAAGGATTTGGACTTGAAAAAAATACGTAATTTTTTAAGTGATCTTTAAGCATTTTGTAGAAAGATTCCTTAATTTTTTTCTATTCCTGGAACTCTCGTAATATGTTTAAATAGTGCATTTTAATCTCTTGCTTTAAAAATATGCAGGTCAAAAACTCTTTTTGAAGATCTTATCTTGTAGGTTAAAGTGTCAGTAGTCATTTAGGCTTCACCAATAATTAAAGACACAAACTAACACGTATTGCTCTTTTCACTTTTTAATTGGGGTAGAATGCCTTGTTTCTTCTGGCTTTTAAACAGCAACTTACACTTTTGAATAATTACAGTATGTTTCCCCACAAAGTCACAGGCTTATTAAAAAGCATTCTGGAGGATTATTTAGGTCACAGTAAAGGTTTTAAAGCTTATGGAAAAAGAACTTGAACTTTTACGTAGTATACTCAGAACTTGCAGTTAGCATCATAGACCTCAGGTTCTTAAGAGATATTAGGTGAAAGAGCTAGGCATTGACTTCTGCCATTCAAAGGCTGTTCAGCCTTGTTTTTATTTCCTCTTAAGTATATTACAATGGATTTTTTAGAAATGAAAATTATTTGGGACATATTTCCCTTCCTTTACATTCCAGGTTAAAAACCTCCATAAACTTCATTTAACAGCAAGTATTTGATTACTTTGATCAAACCTGTACTGTACTTTGATGAAACCCTGTACTGTATAACTCAGATGGAAGTGAGGCCACTGTAGAGGCTTCCTGAAAACCTCACAGGCTGATGGGAAAGATAGACTGGTGCACAGGTAGACTGTACTGGGATTGGGGCTAGTGCAAGGAGCTGCAGCACTGCGAAGAGAGATACTTAACCTAGCTTTGTAAGTTTCAGAAGGGGACAGTGTCCAGGACAACATAGTATTGTACAGAGGAACTGGTAAGAAAAGAAGAAATGTATTTCAGGAAGGAGCAAGTAGACTCACAGATCAGATTTGGAGAGAAAGCTGACCACCACAGTGTGAAACTGGAAATCAATTACAGGGAAAAACTGGAATGAACAGGAACACATGGAGGCTAAACAGGATGCTACTAAGCAATAAATAGGTTAAAGGGGAAATAAAAAAATACTTAGAGAATAATGAAAATAGAAACATAACAATGCAAAATCTTTGGGAAGCAGCAAAAGCATTTCTAAGTGAGAAGTTTATAGTGTTATAGGCTTACTTCAAGAAACAAGAAAAATCTCAATCTAATGCTACACCTAAAAGAAATAGGAAAAAACATACAGGGCCCAAAGTTAGTAGAAGGAAGGAAATAATAAAGATCAGAGCAGAAATAAATGAAATAGAGACTAAATAACAGCCCACAAAAAAAAGTGAAACTGAGAGCTGGTATTTTGGAAAGATAAACAAAATTGATAAACCTTTAGCTAGACTGATCATGAGAAAAAGGGGACTCAAAATCAGAAATAAAAGAGAAGTTACACTTGACACCACAAAAATACAAAAAATTAGGAGACTACTATGAAAAATTATATGCCACTAAATTGGACAACCTAGAAGAAATGGATAAATTCCTAGAAACATGCAATTTCCCAAAACTGAACCAGGAAGAAACAAAATCTGAACGGACCAATAATTAGTAATGACATTAAAGCATAATCAGAAATCGCTCAACATACAAAAAGTCCAGGACCAGATGGCTTCAGAGGAGAATTTTACCAAACATTTAAAAAAGAGTTAATGCCTATCCTTCTCAAACTATTCCAAAAAATTGAGGAAGGAAAGCTTCTAGATTGATTCTGCATGGCAAGTATCACCTTAATACCCCAAACAGACAGAAAAAAAAACACTACAAAAAAAAAAATTACCAGTATCCCTGATGAACATACATGCAAAAGTTCTCAATATTAGCAAGCCAGATTTAAAAATGCATTGGAAGGATCGTTTACCATGGCCAAGCAGGATTTATTCCAGCGATGTAAGGATGGTTTAATATCCACCATCATTGTGATACACCATATTAACAGAAGGAAGGATAAAAACCATATGGTCATCTCAATAGATGTTGAAAAAGCATTTGACAAAATGCGGCATCCATTTGTGATAAAAACTCAAGTCAGTATAGAGGGAACATCCTGCAGCACAATGAAGGCAATATGACAAACCCACAGCTGACGTCATACTCAGTGGGAAAGCTTTTCCTCAAAGATCCGGAACAAGACAAGGATGCCAACTCTCAACACTTTTATTCAACATAGTACTGGAAGTCCTAGCTGTAGCAATCAGTGAAGAAAATTAGAAAGTATGCCAGTTGCTAAGGAAGAAGTAAAATGGTCACTATTTGCAGCTCACTTGGTACTCTGTATAAACCATAGACTTCACCAAAAAACTGCTAGAAGGAATAAATGAATTCTGTAAAACTCAGGACACAAAATCAGTATACAGAAGACTATTACATTTCTACATACAAATAATGAATAAACAGGAAGAGAAATTAAGAAAACCGTCCCATTTATAGTTGCATCAAAAAGAATAAAATGCCTAAGAATAAATTTAACGAAGGAGGTGAAAGACCTGTACTCTGAAAACTGTGTAAGATGCTAATGAAAGAAATTGAAGATGACACAACTGAATAGAAAGCTATCCCATGCCCATGGATAGGAAAAATTAATATTGTTAAATGACCACACTGCCCAAAGCAAACTGCTGATTCAGTGCAATCCTTATCAAAATACCAGTGGCATTTTTCATCAAACTCAGAGTCCTAAAATTTATATGGAACCACAGAATGGCCCAAATAGTCCAAGCAGTCTTAAGAAAGAACAAAGCTGGGGGTATTATGCTTCCTGATTTCAAACAATAATTCAAAGCTACATTAATCAGAGCAGTATTGTACTGGCAAAAGAACTGATATATAGATCAATGGAACAGAATAGAGAGCCCAGAAATAAATCTATGCCTATGTAGTCAATTAAAATAATGAAAAAGGAAGCAAGAATATACAATGGGGAAAAGGCAGTCTCTTCAATAAATAGTGCTGGGAAAACAGGACCATAAAAGAATGAAACTGGATCCCTGTCTTACACCATACACAAAAATAAACTAAAATGGATTAGAGACTTAAATATAAGATAGGAAACTGTAAAACTCCTAGAAGAAACATAGTAAACTCTTGAACATTAGCATTAGTAATTTTTTTTTGTATATGTCCCCCCAGGCAAGGGAAACAAAAACAAAAATAAACAAGCGGGACCATCAAACTAAAAAGCCTTTGCATAGCAAAGGAAAGCATCAGCAAAGTGAAAAGGCAAGCTACTATATGGGAGAATATATTTGCAAGTAATATATCTGATAAGAGGCTAATACCAAAAATATATAAAGAACTCATACAACTCAATACCAAAAAAAAAGTAATCTGGTTAAAAAATGGACAGAGGACCTGAGTAGACATTTTTCCAAAGAAGACATACAGATGACCAACATACAGACACAGGAAAAGGTGCTCAACATCACTAATCATGAGGGAAGTGCAAATCAAAACCACACTGAGATAGCACCTTATACCTGTTAGAAGGCTAATATCAACAAGACATTAAATAAAAAGTGTTGGTATGGGTGTGGAGAAAATGGAACCCTGATATACTACTGATGGGGTTGCAAATTGGTGTAGCCAGAATGGAGGTTTCTCAGAAAACCAAAAATAGAATACTGTGTGACCCAGCAATTCCACTACAAGGAATTTACCTGAAGAAACAAAATCACTGATTTGAAAAGATACATGCGCTCCTGTGTTTATTGTGGCATTACTTACAATAGCCAAAATTTGGAAACAACCTAAATGTCCACTGCTTAGTGCAGAGCAGGGTGGGCAGGCCATAGGCCCAGGGCGGAGCCCAGTGTGGCAGGGAGGTTCCAGTTAACAGACCAGCAGAACTGGGAGTGCATCACACCAGAAGCCTTCTGGGATGGTTTAGGCCAAACACAGCTCCACAGACTTACTCTGACATAATTACCTCAGTCAAAACCAATACAGCAGCCTGAGGTTGGTTTGATGAAATAAAGTCATGGCACTATTTTATTCATTTGCTCGTTGAGATCTCATTAAGGTCCACATGTTTTCTTGGGAAAATAATGGAGGTTTTCAAAAGATAAGAGAATGAGTTTTGATGGAAACACCAACTGTGAGCTGTTGGGGGAAAAATTCCCTAGGTTTTCCAGCATTTGTTAATCTTGTGTAAAATTGCCACTAATCCTGCAGAACTTCTCTTTTGAAATGAAACAGTGCAAGAAAACTGTATACCCTCTACTGGCTCTTTTGCTGAAAACAGACATCTGCTAAATGGATTTTCTTATCCTAGGACTGGGCACTTGGAGTCCTGCATGCCAAGATCATTGCAGCTATCACACTCATGGGGCCTCAGTGGTGGCTGAAGACCGTCATTGAGCAGGTAAGCAAAAAAGCAGCTTGCAGCAAAAGACTAGGAGTGGTGGTGATTGTGTTTTTGGCTGATAGGACTCTTTCTTTTCATTTTCCACTTCTGAGTTTTCTGTGTTTTTTTAAATAAGCATATATATATATAGCTTTTTTTCTTAGAGAGACAGTTTGCCGTTTTATCACCCTGATTTTCATCTACCACTCTTAAGACTTCCCTTATCTGGAGGTTAACCAGTAGCTTAAAGTACCTAGAATCCTGCCAAAATAAAGGCAACAATTACCACATGTGGGTCTTTTTCAGGGCAGGAATTCTGATGAAGACTTGCTATTTAGGTTTCTAAACCTGTAGTAGAGAAGAGAGGTTATTATTCAAGGCAAGACAAAAACAATAGGTTAAAAAAGCAGAGCTGTTTGGGAATATTTTAGCTGCATAGCACCTAGGACTATAGTGTTACAGAACCATCAGATAATTTGGTCATTGTGATAACCTTGAAAAAGATAAATAGTGTGTCTACATTGTGATGATAAGGCCAGGGAGTATGGTAATTAATTTTAGGAAGATTTCAATCCAAAATAACCAACGTAACAGATTTTGGTACTTACTTCTTTTAAATTTTAGTTACCTAGAAAACATATCTGCAGATAACCCTCTTGTCCTTACTTAGGTCAGCACCATATAAAGTGTTAAAGTTCGGTAGCAGTACAGATACACCTCCTTTTGATGTATAGAAAACAAAGACACTGTTTCTCAGCCCAGTATGCACAAGAAAATTGGCAAAAAAATTTCTGTACCTGGAGATGTGTGAGGCTGGAGAGAGCCAGGGAATTGCTGTTGTGTTTGCATGCATCTCTCAAGTGCCAGCTTGTCCACCTAGTCTCCAGGGGAGACACTGATCCTTCCTTGCAAAGGAATATGGAGACTAAGGGCTTAATTACAGCTGGAGGTTGTGAAACATTGTTGACCTTTATAGTACTTTGCTCTCAGATGCATTCTTTTCTCATACACACGTGTAAGTGTAAGTAAAACGGTTGAGAAACACTGGGATGCCTTGCTGCATTGATTTAAATGTATTTTTGGGTTAATAGGTTTCTTTGAGATCAGCAGCATGCCTTTGCAGTGTTAGGCCTGTTTGTCATTCATAGCTGACTGCTCTGGCCCCCTCATGAGGTTTCAGGTGGTCACACCATGCTGTGTGCCTGTGGGCCTGGGGAGGTTGAAAGTGCCAAGGCAACAAGGAGAACAACACTTTTGGGTCTGGTCCCCTCTGCATGCTGTCTTTATTTTCCATTGTTCAAAGCCTTCCCACTTCCATCCATTCTTTTCTCTGCAGTACACTCAGTAGAACTTTGTGTGTGATGATGGAATATTCTAGAAATTCTTAAGTTAAAAAACAACTGCAGATTTTCTTTCACACTAAATTTTTACATAATGTACCTTTTGGTTAAATTTTGTTTCTATAAGCTTTTAGGAAACGTATTTCCTGTTTATAATGCTTACACTGAGATAAAGTGAATGAAGTCTTGGGTGATAGATCAGACTGTTGAGTGAGTAATCAACACAGATCACTCTTACACAAGATAAGTATGAAGTTATTTGGTCTTCAGCTAATATTGGATGCCATCTGGTATTATAGAGTGCAAGGCTAGTGTAATGATTGTAGATTGGTGTCTTATTATTTCATTCCTTAGCAGAGTTAACTGTAAGTAAGGTGTAAGGAAGTTAAACTTTGCAGTTATGAACTTAACTGCATATGGAAGTAAATGGACTTCCTTTCAAAACTCGTGGGCACCGTACTTATGTTTGTGTTCTGGAACTTGCCTTGATTTTGGAAAAAAATGACCAGTAGATTCCTCACAGCTTGGATTCAGTAGAGATCACATGTTAATCTGGAGGAATTTGTATTGTATCCTTGTTCCAATTTTCTTCCCATGTTTCAGGTTTATGCAAATGGAATCCGGAACATTGACCTTCACTATATCATTCGAAAGCTGGCTGCCCCAGTGATCTCTGTGCTCTTACTTTCCCTGTGTGTACCTTATGTCGTAGCATCCGGTGTTGTTCCTTTACTAGGTGGGTAATGCTGGTTGGGGAGCTTGAGAGAGTACCTTTGGTAGCATCATTACATTCTTGTCACTCCCACTATCCTAGGCGGTCTTGCTCCAAATGCTTTATGTGTAAATACAAATCCAGCTAAAATGGTAGTTTCAGAAGAATTAGGAGGATCATAAAGCTCTCTGGTATTTTTTTCTCTAGGCAGGTGAGAAAGTATTGACATTTACACTCTCCCCAAAATAGGCAGAAACAGATTTCCTTCAGGTTGTCTTTTCCTGACTTTAAGTGCTTTCAGCACATACTTAAAAAATTAAGGGGGAAGTGTTGCTATGTTAAATTTTTAAAATGTTCTTTGGCATAAAAGGAAAAGAAAGGAAGAGATGCTAACTAGTGATACCTCAACAATTAGTTATTGTCCTATCAGTTGTGTACTGAGGAATCCTCATGGGACCTTAAACCCAGCTTACGGTCAGACTTTCAAGAATAAAGTTTTTGCCTCCAGATCTTTTTCTTCTGAATCCCCTCTTTAGTGACTAGCATTATCATCCAACCAGTTATATGAGTCAGAAACCCTGAAGGTCATCTGTGTTGCCTGAGGCTCTCTGCCCTCCATATTCACATGTCCAAGTCCCAGGGACCCAACTTCCTGAACCATTTCTCATTTCCTGCACCTCCCACCTGAATCTCAGTGGCCTCCTAGCTGGTTTCCCTTCTCTGAAGCTGCCACCTAATTCATTCGGCTCCCTGCAGCTACTGTGACCTTTCAGCACTCTTCGGGGAACATCTTCTCCTTGGTTCCTCTGGGGCCTTTCAGACACAGTGCAATTCCTTGGTGTAGTCCTCAGGGCCCCTCTGGTTTGTGGCCACCCCAGTTCTGCCTCACTCTGTGCCCCACTCCGTTTTGTCCATAGTGAGATTCAGTTCAGCGCCACTAGTCCATCTTCCTAAGGAAAGGACTACTATCGTTTCACTGTCATTCTGTATATACTTAGTTTTCCTTTTTTGGTTTTACAGGTGTTACTGCAGAAATGCAAAACTTGGTCCACCGGCGGATTTACCCATTTTTACTGATGGTTGTGGTATTGATGGGGATCTTGTCCTTCCAGGTCCGCCAGTTTAAGCGCCTTTATGAACATATTAAAAATGACAAGTAAGTCTATACTACCATTCATCCAGCCACTCTTGTTAAAATGTCTCATTTCCTAATTTTTGTGTCTAATGTGATAAATCACAGGAAGAAAAAGTGCTCAGATTCTGGATATATTTTGAGGTAGAATGAAAGGATTTGCTAATTGATGGGATGTGGAAGGTGAAAACACAATCAAAGACTCAGCTGGGCCAACTAATTGGGAATGTGGAGTTGTCATTTATGGAAATGCAGCAGATAAAGAGAAACTGGTTTTGGGAGGAAAATTTTTTAATGCCCATTCCTTAATAGTTTTCAGTCTGTTTCATATGTTTTGGTCTGATGACATACTAAATAATTTTAGATAAAAATAAAAAGCCTACATCAGGAATTAGCGGTGCCTACATAAGCCCTTGCAACCAAGGGCCTTTGGGTTTCTCTGACAAGTGCTAAGGAAGCCTGTAAAGTTCTTGCAAAAGTGTCATAGGCTTTCTGTTTTTTGGCAACTCTTGAAACCTAATCTCAGTAAGAGATTTGAGGACAGCCAAGGAAGACACATTCTGGGGATAAGAGCTGTTTGACTTCAGGTCCTAACCTAGGCTGCATCCTCCTCGGCTTTAATAGTGTCTGGCAGAGAAAGTGAGTTCATAACTATCTGTCCTGGTTTGCCCAAAAGAGCCCCAGCTTACACATGTTGCCTTTTTTCATTATTAACAAGACCCCCCCTTTTACTTGTGAGTGCCTTGGTTTGGACAACAGATCATATGGTCTGTTTACTCTGAGGGCTCTTACAAGGGGTTTTAAGAATGAAATTCACTGTTTTCAAGGTTTCTCCAAAGCATTTGCTGACACAAGTACACTTAGGAGCTCTGTGTATAAAGTCTGTGAAAGACAGACATGTAAGGACAGGGAAGGATTTCAGTGATGAAAGTCAGTTTTGCTCAGTTCCCTGGTTTTAGCAGGAGAGTCAGTGCTGCTGACAGCATGCACGTGGCACATGCCCTGGGGGAGCTCCCTGCTGCTGTCTTGTCCAGCTTGTCACCTGCCCTTCCTGGTCTTCCCCGTGGTCCTTTCCCACCCACCTCTCATCATTTCTTACCTGTTCCTTTCCGCTCTTTCCCTGCAGCCCTGTGCACTCTTACCATCCCCGCGCTCCTTCGTGCAGGATACTGTTGAAGCATAGGCTCTGTTGAGGCCAGACCCTGCACCATCACCTCTGATACCCACTCGAAGTGCTGGGCCTGGATGCAGTGCTGAGTGTGGGCCATTGCCTGTGGTGGGCTGGGGGCGCCTGCAGGGACTACCACAGTAGGGAGAGTGGGGTGTGGGCTCAGAGTCTCTGCCTCCTGCCCCCGACTCACTCTTTGGTCCTGGGCAGGTACACTGTCATTGATTTTCTCTCTGTGCTTTTCATTGCTTTTGTTGCTGTGGTGCTAACTCCATCCTTGGTGAACCTCGGCGTGCTTGGTGATCATGGGTGTGTCAGTCAGGTGGGGCCATTGTGTATGGGGTACAAAACCCTCACAGCCTCAGAACACTGGTGGGTTGGGGGACAGTGAGGTAAGGGATGGTTAACTTCAGGAAAAGAATTCATTAAAACAAAAAGAAAATGGATTTAACAATGAGATCATGGATGAAGAAGCCTTGGGATTAGTGAAATGTTTTAAATAGTGAAATGTTAAGCTACTTGGGGAACTTTGCCAGAGCATTTCATTAGGTTTCCCTTCTCCGAAGGGAAGAGTGATAGAAAAAGTGATGGTGAAAAATGAAAGTTACTACACCGAGCCCTTTGCACATGCCAGACCTTCATTTATCACCAATTATTTGTGTGCGTTCTGTTTCTCATCACAATCCCAGAACATAGGGCTATTGTCCTTACCTCACTGATAAGGAGACTGGTCTCAAAGCGCCCCGCTCCCTGGCAGCCCTGTCACACGGGGCCCCCAGCGTGGGTCTCCTCTCCCTCCCTGTCCTCTGCACAGATGCCCTGCACTACTCAGGGCTCCTTGATCTGCATTGCTGCCTCCAAACGGGTACCATGCACACTTATTCCTCAGACCCTCCAGTTCATTGTCATCACCTTTGTCATCCACTGTCCTCTGGGGGTTCACCTCTAGGCCATTGCCCCACATCACTGCTTCTCCTCTGCAACTCCTGCCCTCCTCATGGAATGCAGTGTCCTGGGGGAGGGCCTTTAGCTGTGCCATTCCAGCCACGGTAGCTTCTGTCTCTGTCTAGTCCTGTGCCCTTTGCCATACCTCCCTGTGGTCACACCAGGTAAGTTAAGAACACTGAATACTCTCTTCTTGCACCATGGCGTCCTACCTTCTGTCACTTGCATATACTGACTTCTCTGCCATCTACCCATTGACCTCACTGAAGTGTTTGTCTTTTTATTTCTCCTTTTCTCTAGAACTAGAGATTTTCAGGTCCTACTTTTCCTCCTTACCCCACTTACTCGTTGTCATATTTCTAGTCTGTTTCTTCAGGTCTGTCTACTAAGCTCTTTCATGAAATGTGATCCATAACAGTAAGTCCCCTGAATAAGCTGACTCTCTGACCCACTTCAGCTCCCGGTGCCAGTGTTCATGAGAGCCCCTCATGTGTGGACTGGAGCACGTGCTCCTTTGCACTGCACCTGAGCCTTCCAGCCTTGGCTGCTCCCACGGCTTCCCACAAAGCCATACCTCACCAGCACGTGCCTGCTTTGGGCCTCTTGCAGGTGTTCATTCTCAACTTCTCTGCTACCTAATTTCTGAAGAATTTTAAGTGGGAGTGAAGATCAGATTGCATTAAAAAAAATGTATCACTGGCTGCTCTTAGGAATAATGTTTTAATATGTAAGATCATGGAGTAACCCTGTTTTTACAACCTAGATACCTGGTGGGCCAACGCCTCGTGAATTACGAACGGAAATCTGGCAAACAAGGCACATCTCCGCTGCCTCCACAGTTGTCCCAAGAATAAAGTGGTTGTCTCAGCTACCTTGACCTTCCCCTCGCCTTTACAGGTCCTTTTTTGTGGACTTCTCTCTTTGGAGACTTTTCCCAGTGATTTCTCAGCGTTGTTTTTAAGTTAAAATGTATTTGACTCGTGTTCTCAGCGTTCAGAGCGGCAGTGCAAGGCTCTGCTGCCCTTCCTGCCTCTTCAGCATTGCCGTCTGAGAGTTGTATATGTGTAAATAGAAGTTCCGGGATACCCCAAAACCTTGGATTAAACAGAATGTGCATTGTACATCTTTAAACAAAATGTATATTAATTTATTAAATCTAGTTGTCACTTTATTTTGGACCTGCTGTGATCTTAACAGGAAACATGCCGCAGAGCCATAGGGCAGAGGCAAGACTATAATGACATCTCCTGCAGCGCAGTGTCATGTGTTCCTAGCAGTTCGTACTAAGTAAACTGTACATTCTGTCCGTCTGGGCTGTTCAGATCTTAGCAAGGACAGAAACGGAAGCAAGTAGAATCAGCAGTGGAGTGTCTGTGGTAGGAAAACATGAACTCTGTGCTTCACTGTCAGTCATTTTTGGAAGTTATTTTGTATAACACCAAAGCTGTTGTACATTTTCTACTGCTTGATTTCTTTTTCATGTGTCTGTGTTTGTAATATTGTATAGTATCTTGTGCTAGATGAGGAAATTATTTTTAATTTTGATAATTTAATATCCCTAGTTATCAGCATTGGGGGTTGGGTTTTTGTGCTTGTTAGGGGCATGTCTATACTTAGAGGGAAAAAAGTCCAGAAGAAGATTTTTATGAGTCCTCCCCACCCCCATACCCATACGCAGCTATTTTTTTGGCAGCTGTGGCCAAAAGTTATACAAGATCATAAATCTTACGGGATAATGTCACCACCAGTCCTGAGTCTTACTGGAGTTAGGACACACTGAGATGTTTGTTAAATGAAGGTGTGGTTTGTAGTTGTAGCCTGACAGCATTAGATTGGTTAGAATACCCAGTCCTGCTTGCTAGTGCCACATTGGCTGAGGACTAGGGTACTTTTCTCCTAGTTTTCCATGAGGAAATCCCAAAGTTTCCAAAGCTTTTGTTTACAAACAAAACTACAAATACAACCAACTTGATTTTATTTGCCCAGAAGGAAACTGGCTGAACTGGCCTTTTAACATAGGCGAATAGAATGTATTTTGTTGGAAACATGCTGTAAAAATTTCAGAAAACTGAACACTTATAAACTTGATTTTTCTCTAATAACCAAAGCTCCAAGTTAGCAGTGTAGGGAAATAATGAGAATGGTTGGGCACATGATCCAACTATTTAATGGATCGTTAATATTGTAAGGAGAGTGTTTGTTTTGAATGAGAACTTAGAAGTTCTCAGAGAAAATAGACAGCGTCAGTCTTCAGAATCTATAAAGGAATTTCCACATAGTATTAAAATCCATAGACTCAAATGAGGATTTTTAAAACATGAAAGTCAGCCAAACATAAGCTACCAAAATAAAAAGCAATGTGTTCTAGTTGTTTTCTATTTCAACAATTTTCCTGAAGAGGTAAGCAATTAACTTCACTTTGAGATATATTTTTAAACATCAGTATCAAAAAAAAAAATGCTTGACATAGGATTCAGTGTTACACTTCTCAGCACTTTGTAGTAGCCCTTCTCTTGTGTTTGAAATAGTCTTTGCTAGCCCTGCCTTTACTTAGAAATTCAGTTCTACTGTGAAAAACTCGGAGCATTAAAAACGTAATGCCACCTTTTGTGGTATATGTCTATAGAAATTGCTCTTTGGGAGAAAAATAACAAATTGGGCATATAACAATTTAGGTTTAATTTTTCAGAGAAGTTGTAGATATTATATAAAGTAATTGGAACACATCTGTTTTATAAGAAAGATTTAGGCAGATTCCACAAAAGATTAAAAATTGTTACTCTACAAAATTTTAAATCTTATGAGATATTTTGTTAAAAAAAATACAGATATAGATGAATGGCTAGCAAGTTGCCCTCCTTTTCACTGGCAGGTAACTTTTCTCTGGTCATAAGGACCCCTGGGCTTTCCAGTCGTGCTTTGTCCTGCTGTTTTCAGTAAGATGAGTACATCTGCAAGGAAAGCCTTTGCTGGCATAATACTTAATTTGGGTAGCACCAAGATGTTCTTATTAACTAATAGTCTTACAAATATTTAAAACCTCTAGTGGAGAATGTGCTAGTATTGATGCACTTCTTAAAAAAAGTTTTTTTTTAACAGTGTAGTTTGCTTCATTTTACATTGGGCAAAACAGTTTTCAAGGAAGTTAATTAGGAAAGAAGACCTTTCTGCTTAATTTTTACTATTTATATATTGAAGACAAATCAACATTTGGGGTTAGTTTTACATGACCAGTTATCAAATGGTCATAATATGAAGTGTGCAGTTGTTTAATATTAGCAAATTATGTTTGATTTTAAAACTATGAAGTACTAATAGTTGAGATCAAAACTGAAGAAAATGCCAATGTGAAGTTTGTGTACAGCTAGCCTTAAAAAAGCTCCATGTTTTTAGATGATTTTTTCCTGTTAGTTCTCTGGAGAAACAATGGAGATTGGACATCTCAATTCCAGATGTAAACAAAAAGTAGTTTTTATTTCAACATTTAATATAGCTGTTATTACTGTGGATTCTCGTCTTGTGTTTTTTCTTTCCCTTATTCAAGTAATAGAGAATAACTTTTTCTCAAATGATTTGACCTTAGGTGTGTCATTTCTATATTGGCAAAATGCTTTATTAAAGTATAATTCTTGAGTTTAGGTTGAATTGATGACTTTTTAAAAAAACACTGGATATTTCTACATTCCATTGCATTTATGTGCACACACGGGTGCACACACACATGTACACACACACACAGATGTAGCACCAGTAGGAGAACACTGGCACATTTTGCAAGGTAGCTACTTACCTCATTTTCAGGATTGAGTATTTTAAGCTCTCTACTTACTGTGATAAGTTTTTTACATTGTACAATTAACTGATTATGTTTAAAACCCTCCTTTAAAATGTTACCTTTTCAGTCTCCATCAAGGATAGACATAAGTAAAATGTTTTACCACTAAAGTATTATTAAAAACCTCATTTTGGAGATTGTCTAAAACTTCCTTGGTTGAACTGTCTTGTATCTCTGGTTTTGTCCCCTCAATCAGATGTTTTCTTTTAAGCCAGTTACACTATGTCCCTTTCTAAAACAGCCATCAAAAGTAAGGGCTTCTTTCAAATAATCACCAACAATATGTTTGGTATTAATACAACATGAAGATGAGACAGTATATATCTGTTTTCATTCCCATCTATTTTGTATGAGTGCCTCATTTTGTGGTCATGAAAGTAATACTGTACCTTAAATGAAAATCTAATGACTGTAAGCCTAGAAATGACCATTACAGAAACTAAATAGAACACTTAGTTATTTGGGCTTTCAATTTTCTGTTAAAGCAAACACCTTAGATACCCAGACCAATTTTATGTGTATATATTCTACAATGCTCCCGTTTTTTATGTGGTCATTTGTTGCCTTAATAAGTCTAGAGAACAAAATGAAGAAAATGAATGTTAGTTGTAGCCTGGTTTTATTGGTTGGTTTATTTTTCCTTTGTTGCAAGATTGCTTCAATATTCTACAAATGTGCATTACTAGTCAGCATACATAGGTAGATAATCCAGATATTTTTTAATATAACAATCATGTAATGAACTCAAGTTACATGTTGTTATAGCCCCTCTATTCTAAGTGTGAATTTAAAAGTTTAGCTGCCGAGGACATAAACCCCCTCTCTCCCAGTGCTCTAATTACAGACCATCTCACTGGTCACCAGGTTTTCTTTTAATGGATTCTTGGATAGAGTAGACCAGTCAAGTTCATTTTATGTAGTTGGCCATATGTTTCACAAAAAAAGGGAAGAATTGGAAGAGTTTTTTTCCTCTAAAGTTCCCATGCAAAGAGGTCCTTGTATTTCTAATTTTTCTTTGTTTCTAGGTGCAACAACTATGATTTTTCAAAACCAAGTGCGTTTAATGCAGTAGTCGTAGGTGAAACACTGAACCATAGGACATCTGTAAGATGCAAGTGAGACTGCAATTTTACAACAGAGGAAATTGCATGGTGAACCTTGGTGGCTGGTGATCCCCCTATGGTTTGCAGCCATTCTTGGTGCAGAGAACCCACACCACCAAGGGTCTGAGGAGGTAACACTTCAACTCCCCAGGGTTTTGGTGTCTGTTTTCCAGCACTATACTTAGTATTATATTTGAATGAGATATGAGGTCTGCCTTCAAGGAGTCCAGTTAAGAGTGGGAAAGAACAACAGTGAACAAAAGGTTCTATTATAGGCATAAATAAAATGCCACAAGGAACACAGAAGGGATCCACCTAGCAAGTTCGGCATGACCTGGCTGCAGCCTTCCTTACTGTTTTGTAAACAAGGACACCTCTCTTTCATCCTCTGCTTCACTCAGTCCCACAGCCAGTAACCTGAGAGAGGTCCCATTCTGCACCACTTTACACTGTTTTATCATTTTGAAGTTAACTTACGTATGTAACAGTACCATGTCCTGCTTCTCCATGCTTGTTGTCACTTTAAGACAAGCTTCATGCCAGAAACTCCATTCATTTCATTCTTTTGTTCTTTTCTCAGTTGCATAATCCCTTCTGTCTGCACAAATGCACTGGACTGGCGCAGCAGAATAGAGTCCAGAAGTAGACTGATGCATGTCTGGTTATCTGATTGTTGACAGAGATGCAAAAGTTGAACAAATGGAGCTGGAATACTTGGACATCCAGATGCAAAAGTAAAAATTGATCCATACCTTAATGTATGGAAAAAAACCCTCCAAGTGATTATAGTCCTAAACATAAAACCCCAAACTTAACTTGTGGAATCAAACAAAGGGGAAAATGTTCAGCCTTCCTTGGGTTAGGCAAATTTAGATTTGATGCAACTCCAAAAGCAGAATCCATGGAAGAAAAATTTGGTGAATTGGAGTTAAAATTGAAAACATCTGCTCTTGGAAGTAAACTGTTCAGAGAAAAAAAGACATGCCATGGAGTCTTGGGAAACAGTTCTGATGAAGGACATGCATTCAGATATTAAGGGAGTCTCAAAACCTGTAGTAGGAAGGAAATCTATTTGCTGCCCATTTTAAAAAGGCAAAATACTTAGAAACTTTACTAAAGAGGATATATAGATGGCAAGTAAGCACATGAGCTGTTCAACATTAGCCATTAGCAAAATGCAAATAAAAATGATAGCACCACATGTTTTAGGATGGCTAAAATCAAAAATACCATATTGTGCTGGTGAGGATGTGAGGCATGGAACTGTCATACTCTGCTGGAGGGAATGTAAGATGGTACAACTGCTTTAGAAAATAGTTCAGCAGTTCTAAAAGGTTACTATATGTAATTAGCACTCTGAGTTACTTACCAAGGGAAAAGAAAACATATGTTGTGTATGTCCCTATGCCCATAAGAAGACTTGGACATGAGTGTTCACAGGAGCTTTACGTATAATAGCTCAAAGCTGGAAACAATACACACGCGTAAGGTATTGCTCTGTAGTGAAAAAGAGCTATTGATATACAAATAATTATGCTGAGTGAAAGTAGACCAAATATGGACTGTATGCTTTCATTTATATAAATTTCAGGAAATGCAAACAACCTACAGAAATCTATAGAAAGGTCAGTAGGGGCGGGAGCTGGTGGTGAGGAACTTGGAAGGATGATGGTGATAGATTGGCTCGCTATCTTGGTCTGGTTCTGGTTGTACAAGTATACATTTGTCAAAACTTGGCAAATTGTATATTTTAAATTTGTGCAGCTGTGTGTTAATTATACCTAAATTTAAAAACGTAATACTATGTTCACATATGCTGCCTAAGGGACCATTTCATACCTCTTTATGCAAAGTGCTACCTTGTCTGCTCTCACTTTTGGCTGACAGCTTGTATTCCTGTTTCACTGAGAACATAGAAGCAATCAGAACAACTGTTCACACGTTCACACCATCACATTCTCCCTCTTACATGTACTTGTGCTCACCAGGAGCAGGCCAGCATGCCCTTCCAGAGCCCTGTATGCAGACTGCAGAGTGACAGGTGTCCTGGGGTCCACAGGTGCCATCCCTGGGCCCTCCCTGGCCTGCACAGGCTCGTGGATCAGCGCTCTCTCCCGCTGAGACACCGCTCTGCAGTTCTCTGTCCTGCATCATAGGTGTTGGGTCATCCCTGTCATCAGACATTGCTGTCATTTCTTCCACTAAAAAAACTATCAGCCCTGCTGTTGCCCTCAGTTGCTATTTTGCTTCCTTTCAGCAAAAGCCTTCAAAGAATTACCTGTACTGTTTGCACCTTTTTCCCTCCTAGTCTCTCCCAACCTACAATCAGGTATTTGCTCCCACTTTTCAATTGGAGTTGCTCTTGTAAAGATCACTGGTGACAAATGCTGAATTCTGTGTTTAATGCTCAGGTCTCATCTGCTTGATTCCTCTCTCTAGTCATTTTCCTCAACTGCCAGGACACAGCACTTCCCTAATCTTCCTCCTACCAGTCTGGACTCTACTTTAGAAACTCCTTTGCTGACTCCATGTTGTCTTCCAGCTATTACCAGGCCCCGGGGCTCAGTCTGGGAGCTGTGTCCCCCATTGACTTGGTGATCTCACCCAGCCTCATGGCTTTAGAGGCCAGGCCATCTGTGTGCTGATAACTCCCAGGTGTATATATTTATCCATTCCATCTTATTCCTTGAACTCCAGACACATCTGTGCAACTGCTGTGCAACATGGAGTCTTCCAACATCTCAAACCTAACAGGTTAAAAAGAACTCATGGTTCCCCTCTCCTAAATCTGTTTCCCCAACTTCCCCATCTCAGTAGGTAACAATGGACAGATGCAAGTTGGTAAATGAACAATGCTGAGAACACCCTGGACACTTCTCTTTCTCACTCCACAGTCTGACAGCAGGTCTTGGTCTTTGCACCGCTCCTGCTGCTGCCATCCTGGTGCAGAGCAGCACCATCTTCCTTCTGCCCAGTGACTACAGTGTCCCCTGAGTTCCTGGCCTCTACCCTTTCTCTCTTGTCTTCCATTTATTTTCAACACTGAATCCAGAGTAGTCATGTTCAGATCTAAGCCAGATCACATCAGTCCTTTACTCAGATCCCTCCAAGAGTGAATGATCACATAGTCGAAGTCCACAGTGGCTTCAAGGCCCCCTCTGTGCACTCCACTTGAGGCAGCCTCCTGTCTCTGACCCATCACTCCCTGTGTTCACTGTGCTCCATGCAACTTCCCCACATCCAGAACAGGCCAAACCCCAGGGCCTTTGCACTTGCTGTTCTTCATCTAGGCTCTTCCCAGCCTCCCCATTGCTTTACTGAACTGTCATTCATTAGTGAAGCTTATTAAAGTTGCAGCTATGGGGGCATTTCTGACTCCTCTCCTGTGGTATTTCTCTCTTTCATATTTAAACATACAATATAGTTTGCCTACTTATTTATATTTACATGTGACTTGAATGGAAGTTTCAGAGATTAAAAAAACAAAAACTCAAAACGATTTGGGGATACTACTATATTCCAGAATAGTCCTTGGGTCATATTCAACATTCAATAAATGTCGTCGAGTAAATAAATGAATCAGAATCAAAAGGATATATAATGGTTAAAGTAAATCCAGAAGCCCTGTGCCATTCTCCAGAGGTAACCATTGTCAGTAGCTTAGCATATGCTTCCAAAAGGTGCTGTGCGAAACATACAGCTCCTTTTATGATACATGGCAATGGCATGTGCCACAGATCGCTCACTCTACAGGGTACTTTTTTCCACTTTGTATTTCATGAACATCTCTTTATATCAGTACATACCACCCCATTTAAAAATTCTGGCTCTATTGCTTTTTGTGTGGATAAGACTGTGACTTAAGTTTTCTGAAGACAATCAGTTAAACCATGTTGCATGCTACAGCAAACATTTTTATCCATATTACTTTATACTCGTGTAGTATTTCTGTGGGACAACTCCCTAGAAGATTGCTAAGTCATCAGAAACACTTATAGTATTATGGCCTTCAAATGTACTGATCAGCATTCCTCCCTCATGAGTTTATGAGATTCCTTGTTTCCCATGGTGTCATCAACATTAGTGAATACCTTAAGCGGTTGCTGTTAATTTGGAAACCTGTGTGTGTCTTCAATTGCTAGATACGTTGCACAGGTAGAGGAGTCATGGCTGGAGCTTGATGCCTCTAGGGCAGGAGGCTGGGCTTGACACTGGGCTTCCTGGCCATAGCACCTTCTAGTTCCCCATCTTCCTCTCTATAGAGTTGAGCAAGGGAGGGTGGGTTTCAGGGCCTCATTCATTCAGTGTGGGTGCTGAGAGCAGCCGCAGCCGCCAGCCAGGATACCACCTACACTCACACCCGCATGCCACCCTGATCAGAATCCACCAGATGGAAAAGTTTCTCCTACCCTGCAACCTAAAGCTATTATATCAGAAGATGTGCTTTACTTCCTCCTAGATTGGCTCAACCACTCTATATTAGTTGGGAAAGCAAATAGAATCTTCAGAAATCGCCTACCGTCTAAACTCTATGTGGCTCCTAAACAGATCTGAAGAACAAGTTCACCAAGGGGAACCCACTGAGCAATAGCATGTGGGAGGCACTGCGGCTGGGGCCCTATGGGACAAAGTGTCAGAGGCACGTGCCAGATCAAGAGGGCAGTCGAGCAAGGCAGGGGCTCAAGCGGCCTGGGGCTCGAGAGGCCTGCACCTGTCGGCCTTCTCATTAACAGCCGCCTGCCTAGGAGGACCCGAGGCACCTCGTCTAAACTTCATGTACTAGAGCAAAGAGAAGCGGAGGGTCTTTTATGAATATGCCCCTTACATTAGGCAGCGGGAAATCGATCAAAAGTCCTTTCCTAAGTGAAACGTTCAGCTCCTGCAGCTCTAAACTACCGCTCAGCCGCAAAGGCTTCCGCAGCCAGGCTACGCAGGCGCACTGTCTCCCGACGCGCGCCTGAGGACCCCCGCCCCGGCCTTGGCCGTAGACGAGTGCGCGTGCGCGGAGCCAGGGGCGGGGCCCGGGCGCGTCCCTGTTGCCTGGAAACGGCGCCATAATAGCGGCGGCTTGCTCTCGGAGGAACGGTTGGCCCTGGATTTCTAAGGGGTCAAAGAGAGAGGGTGAGCACCCTGCCTACCACTAGCGCTTCCTCGCGAAGACGGCCTCCTGGTCCGCCCCCACACCAGGGATCCCGGCCCCGCCCCAGACCCCAGAGCCCTGCTCGGCCCCCGAGGGTGACGGACTCGCTTCCTCACCGCAGCACACCTTGATTCTTCCCAGCCTGGTGCGCAGAGAGCGATGCCGCTTCCCGAGACCATGTTCTGCGCGCAGCAGATCCACATTCCCCCAGAACTGCCGGACATCCTGAAGCAGTTCACCAAGGCCGCGATCCGCACCCAGCCCGGCGACGTGCTTCAGTGGTCCGCCGGGTAAGCGCCTCGCAGAGTCGGCGCGTCCCGGGCCCAGCGGTGCCCGTGAATCCTCGTGCCTGGGGCACGGTGCCACGCGCAGGACACTGGCTTTAGCACCGGTGATTCTGCACCTAAATATATGTTTAGGATGCGTCATGGTTTATTGACCATGAGGCCAGAAATTACCCCCAAATGCTCACTTCTCTCCAGAGCAATGACAACTCTGTCGTCGGAGAGGGATCTTACTCAGACAAAACTTATAAAGCAATGAATTGGGCAAAAGGTTTCTGCATTATTATAAAATCAAACGATTACAGCCCCTTTAAAAAATTTGTAACATTTTTACAAGGAGAAATCTTGTGGCTGTGGTCCTTGTCCTCAGGGAATCCTCCCCCAGTTGGGTAGGGGTTGAATTTGTTAAAACCAAAAGAACTGAGGTCATGTTGGGGAAATCATCCCAAGGCTGCCCTAAGATTAAACTCTGTCCAACTTCGTTCACAACATATGAACCTTCACAGTTACAGGCAATAAACATTCTAACCATTTTGGAAACAACCATTCATAATTTTAAAGTTACAAGTCCCTCGACTTTAGAACGATAAAAATTAACCCTTTTGATTTTACAGGAAAGCTCTTTTCCCTTTTTCAGTAAACAGACTTTGTTTACTTCAGTAAACTCAATTTTATGATCGCAAGAATCAGTATAGTATAAATTTTAAATGTTTCATTAACTAGCATGTTACATTTTGCCGACCTCTAAACTGTGTATTAGTTTCCTGTGACTGCTGTAACAAATAATAACCACAAAACTTGATGGCATACAACAATGGACATTCATACTCTGAACAGTTCTAGAGGCCAGAAGTCCAAAATCAGTTTTGCCAGGCTAAAATCAAGATATAGGCAGGAACTTGCTCTCTCTGGAGGCTGTAGGGAGAATCCGATCTGTTTCTTGGTCTTTTCCAGCTTCTCGAGATGCATTCCTTGTATTATTTGGCTCATGGCATCTTCAGGTCTCTGCTCCGGCTGCTAAGGACAACTGTAATTGCATTTCGGACCCATCCAGATAGTCCAGGATAATTTTCCAAGTCCTTACTCATATCTGCAAAGTCCCTGTTACCGTGCAAAATAAGATCCACAGTTTCCAGAATTAGGACCTGAAGATTTGAGAGGGCCTTACTGATTTTACCACAGGAGGCTACTTGTTAATCCAGTGCTTTGCCTTCTAACAGACACTTATGTCAATTTCTGAAAGATTCTTTCAAGGTTCTTGCCAAAAAAATTATGACTGCTGGTTTTATTCAAACCTAAATAAAAGGTAGGACTCCTAAGAGTTTATTGGTATGCTACAAAATATTCCAAGATTTAATCAGTTTTCTTCTTGGAACATTAAATTATATTTGGTAACAATTTAGAAACAACAATTTTAAGCTTTGCTTTAGTTTAAAAGGCTTAATCAGGAACTTTCTGAATGTTTCATGCAACTAATTTCTCTCAAGAACAATTTTGGAGTTAGGGGAAAAAGCAAGCATTACTCATTAAGTATGTGTGTGAAATGGGCTCAGGTGTGTCCCAGCTGTCAGAGAACAAAATCTATTAGGGAAGGATGTTCTTCAGGAGAGGGTGAATTAGTCTATGAAAGGTTTCATAGGCAGAGATTGGGGTTAGAACAAGGTGAGACTGTTCCAGGGTGAAGAAACAGCCTATGAAAGGGAGCAGGGAGGAAAAAAGCTAAAAACAAAGCAGAAAACCAGAATGCATGGAAAGGAGCTCGGCTGTGGAAGACTCACGCAGGTGTTCAGGTTAGCTGCCTTTTCAAATGGGGTTTGCAGGCGACAGAGGTGAGTCAGCCCTGCTTCCCAGCCTGGGTACTTTGCACCAGTCAGTCAGCTCTGTATCTTATGGCGTCATCTGCAGGGGTGCATCATGCAGTGTGACTGAAGCCAGAAGGGCACAAGTACTAAAGGCTACTTTGTTCGCATGTGCCTCCAGGAAACTAGCAGAGTAGAACCTAGGTTGGTCTCACGAAGTCAGGCTTTCTCAGCCTCCACATGATTGACACTTTGGAGAGAACAGTTCACTGGGGGGTGTTGAGTGGGAGGCAGGGGTGTGGGAGTGTCTTGGGCACCATAGGATCCTTAGCAGCATCCTCATCTGTGCCTATTAGAGGCCAGTAACACCATCCACCCCCTGGTGTGACAACCAAAAATGTCTTCAGAAATTGCCAGTGCATTCTTGGGGACGGGGCAGGGTTAAAAGTGCCCCTGTTAAGAACCACTGCTGTAGAGACTGTTTGAGTTTGGTGTTTGGTTGGATTATGAGGAATTAAGTCAGTAAAATGGTGAAAACCCTAATAGGCACAACATGGCAAAGCCAAGCACCCTCCCTTTAGCCTGGCACTCCTGTCTCAGGCCCATCTTCGTCTAACTCCATGCTGCCTGCCTTTTGACTTTTCCTAAATATGACTGGAGTTGTTTTAAGAGCATGAAAACAGTCGTATTTGAGAGGTTGAGAGAGAAAAGGGGATGAGATACAAAATTTCTTTTAGCCTATCAAATATATATTTACCTACATCTATTTTTGTTACATATTCAGAGATGTTTCTAGGTACTCACATCTTTTAGATGATCACCTGTGGCCCTGGTAGATGTTTTAGTGATCACTTTCCTGGGCATGTGTGGCTCCAGCAGCTGGTCACCTCTGGCACCTGTGCCCAGGTGAGTGAGCCTCACAGAAGTCCCTGCCTGGCACCCTCTGCCTGCCCACCAGCCAGAAACTGGTGTGTACCCACTCCGGACTGGTTGCCCTAAACTGTTTTCCCCAATACAACCTGCAATATTCATGTCTCAGAGAGGAACAATTAAGAGAAACAAGACTGAGAAACAATACCAGGCAGGAAAAGTGAAGGGCAGGTGAGCAGTGGCATCTGACTAGCCAGTGGAGTGGTCCGTTCCCAGCCGAGCAAGCAGGTGACTTCCTGGATCCCAGCGCCGGAGAGTTGAAGAGGCAGAGAAGGTTGGAGTCAAGCCCTAGGAGAAGTGGGAAGGCCAACAAAAAGCAGCCAAACCCCAACTGTCAAAGTGGCATGACTGGATTGTCACCTTGCACTTGGGTCACTGTGGGACCCCAGATCTTCCCCCTCCTTTGACAATATTTCAGGACCACTCACAGCGTTGGCTTCATAAGAACAGCCCTGCGTTGTGGAGCACTGTGACAGCCAGAGCACTACACTGAGCCCTTTGTGGGTGTCGAGCTCTGTGCCCCAGGAGCCTAAGGCAGGGACTGTCATTCTCCTGGCTTTGCAAACAGAAACTGAGTCGCCAGAAAGCGGTAAGTGGGGAGCTGAGTGGAGGAGCCAGGAGTGGACTCTGGGGGCATCCTGGGCAGAGGCTCTTGGTGGCCTCTGAGAAGTCTCATGAGTCACACTGCCTTTTGTATGTTGATGAACCTTCTGTTTTTCTTAGGTATTTTTCAGCTTTGTCAAGAGGAGATCCCCTTCCTGTAAAGGACAGAATCGAAATGCCCATGGCTACTCAGAAAACAGACACAGGCCTGACTCAAGGACTCCTTAAAGTTTTGCACAAGCAGGTATAAGAGGGTCTTGTCATCAGTCAGCTTCTTGAGATCAAGCAGGGCCTGCCCCGTTAATGCGTTACCGAATCCACCCAAAATAAATCCTTTCATGTCCTGTTCTCCCTGCAGAAAACCCTTTATTCAAAGCAGGGATCCTGTATTCTGACGGCTTCCTTTAAAGAATTCAAAAGAGCCAGCCACTATAAGATTGTAGAAAACTGAACTACAATTTCTTTTAAATACTAAAATGTTAGATGTTGTTGGACTAGAAAAGTCTGAAAATATGAAATTCCAAAAATGGGGGGCTGCAAGTCTTTTCCTGAAATCTGTTCTTGTAAAAATTGTGCACCTGTAAAGTAGTAATCTGCCACCTTCTTAATCTGAAAGATGGGTTGCCTTTGGGTGATTGGTTTTGGTCCTCCAGGAAGCCTGGGTGTGGTGAGGCCACACCCTGAGAGCCTTGGTAGTCTCCCAACCCACAGTCTGGCATTTTGAGAAATGAGTGAACAAAAAGTGCAATACCCAGGGAGGCTCGGTATTTGTCATGATTGGGCTGTTTTGCTAAAAATGGCATCAATGGTATAACCTTGACTTTTAAAGTGTTTTGTCCTCATTATGCATTTTGAAATAATGTGCTTCTGTGTAGGCTGCATTGACTTCTGAAAATAGGATTTTCCTGGGCTCTCTCTCGTAAGGGAAAAACAACCATTGCAAGGGGCAGTTTGGGAGAGGACACCCTAAAACTGCTCGAAGCTTTTTCGCACGGATCATTGCTAGTAGACCACAGCAGTTAACCATTTTCATAGATGGCTTAAAATGATGGAATAAATACATTTATTTTCAGTTTTAGGATTTTCTTCCATTTAAGTGTTAATATATAGAGGGTTGGATTTTTTTTTTAATCAGAAGCATTTCAGACAACAGAGAAACATTTACCCAAACTGTGTATGCCTGTTGTGTTAAGGCACGACGTTATGGCGTGTTCATTGCACAGGCTTGTTTCTTTTAAGAAGTAAAATATCACCAGCGGCGTTGTCCCCCTGCCTGGCTGTGCCTCTGCCGCCGCACATATGCCCACCCTGCTCCCCTGGGCTAACTGTCTCATGAATTCAGAGCTCATCTTTTCCCTGAGTGGGGTTAGGTGTTTGGGGTATGTGTAAGTATTCACAGGCATTATATTATTTTGTGGGTTTTTTAAACTTAAAAAAAACTTATAAATTGTGGTGTATTGTTTTCTGAACAGTGTAGTGACAAGCAATATGTGGAATTAGCAGATCTTGAGCAGAAATGGAAAAATCTGTGCCTGCCAATAGAAAATTTCAGAGCTCTCCTACAATTGGATCCTTGTGAAAACAAAATTGAGTGGATAAAATTTTTAGCACTTGGATGTAGCATGCTCGCTGGGGTAAGTCCTATAAATAGCATATTAATACTTCTGTGTAATCAGAGGCCTGGCTTAAAAATAATTTAGGTGTTAGCCGAAGGAAACACCTTCATTACTCCAATAGCTTTGTCTTAGAAAAGCAGTTTTTTCAGTTGCCTATTGTATTTTTGGGCTTATAATTATTTTTAATTTGCTCAAGTTAGGTATTTATATAAAAATGAACAATTTAAACATTGTTAACAGTAGATGAAGTATACAGATATTACTAAAATGTAGTTAGCTTTAGAGATACTGCCCCAGTGAGTTTGTATTATACTGTACATCCTTTGGTAAATGGATAATGCCTGTGGAATGAGACATAAAATAACTTCATACTTTAGTTGAAATAGGATTAGTAACTAAGAGTAACTCTGCTGATGTTAAAGCATAGATAGCCCTTGGGGATGAGACACAGATGCCCTTCAGAGTCTGAGGTGAGAAGTGACAGCATTTGTGGACCTGGAGGTGGTGTGGTCGGAGGGGGCAGCGGGGGGCCTCATTTGGAAACCTAGAAGCTCTCTCTCCAGCTCCTATGTTAGAGTCTTCAGTGAGACCCAGGGCTCCTGGGTGTTGGGGGGCGGGGTGGGGAAGAGTTAGCACCTTTAAGCATGTGAAGAAAGGGGCTGAGAAAAAAAATAAATAAGCGGATTTTTACTCGTCCCTTTAGCCTCTGGCCCCCAGAACGTAACCAGGTAATTCTTAATCTTCGATTCATGGCACACACTCATCGGGGCTCACGCATGAGCCACTTCAGTTCAGTTTTAAGTTTTAGGAGCCACTTTATGTAGTAAGTACCTGTGAACTGTGTCCCTACGTGATCCTGAACACCCACAGCCCCTGCCACCACCTGCGGTCTCCTTACATGTCCTGTTCACCTGCCTCTCTTGCTTCCTGTTGATAACATACAGACTCCCAAGAAATACCTTATTCAATTTTAATTGGTTTTAACTTTATGAGAAGACAGTTATGTTAGTAATCTTCTGGAACTTCTTTTCATCCCCAATTAGATTTCGTGCTTCTTCATCTGTATCATTACAGACTGCTGTGGGTCGTTCATCATCTCTGCTGTGCACCACCCACTGTGTGAACATGCGAGCTGCAGTTCACTGGGTCTGCTAGTGGCCCCAGTGAGAACTCTGAAACCCCAGTAAAGTGAGGTGTCAGGCTGGTGCTGAGTAACGGGCGATGTGTCTGTCATGTAATTGCCCACGGCTCTGGGCTAGCTGTGCCAAGCGCTGGGCCCTGGCCCACCAAGTGGCCTCCCACAGCAGTGTCAAGCTCGAATGTCACCAGGGCAGGACCTCAGCGGGCCGTTATTGGGAAGGACAAAGACAAATAAGCTACTGGAGAAAATTTTATGTTGCTTTGTTCATCGGCAATTCTGTGAAAGCAAGGCTTTCATAATATAAAGTTAATACCTAATATTTGAATTCAGGCTTATGGTTTGTGCCTGTAAAGTTGGTTGCGAGATTTAGATTTTAACAATGATAAGAAGAATGTTTCATGTCTTGGGATCCATCTTTGCGATTTTTACCCTCCTTAATCTCTATATTTAAAACTGAACCGCCTGTTTCAGATGCTGGGGTCTCTCCTCCACACGTAATGGAGACACTAGGTGGAGACACTAGGTGGAGACATTGTGTCGGGGATCAGGCCTGTGCTTGTAGGTGAGCACAGGCACCGGCTGAAAGCAGCACACCTTTCTCTTTCCTTCCTCTGCTGCTGGCCCTTGCTGTCTCCAGAGCCAGGGGCCCCTCCTGCTGTGGGAAGCCAGGCAGGCAGCATGAGGTTCAAGCGTGCAAGGCCCTCCTTGCCACCCCCAGCCCTGTTGGCTGAGTGCAGACAGCCATCCTCTGGGTCCGTGGGGGCGCCCAGGGAGCGGGCCCTTGCAAACACTTGCCTTGTTGATGCCCCTGTGTGCCTACGGTGGTTGCAGTTGCTTGAAAGTGCACTAAGAACACAAAACTGTGACATCCAGGTGACAATTTCGGGGTAGTTTGCCATCTTAGCATTTATCTTAATGCTTAAAAAAAAAAGAGCCTTCAAAAATGAGGAAATGAAGTGGAGCAAGATGAGTGATTTATAAAGGATTAGTGTCTTTTCACTTTTTCCACAAAGGGTTTCAGTAAAATTGGAATAGTCACTGTGTCAACACGATAGACTTTCTGCTTCCTTGGCCCAAGGCGTCTTTGCCTCCTGTGGGAGGCACATTCTCTGTGCTCTTAAATTTCTCTTCAAAATCATGCTTGTCAGATGAAGCGAGTTCAATGTCTCCACAGACTGGAATTTAACCTCTGCTTAAATTTCTGAGTCATATGTATCATTCATTCATTCCTTCATTCATTCACAAATGTTTGCAGAGCACTCTGCCAGGCCCTGTTCTACATGTGGAAGATTCCAGAGTGAATGAGATAGGCAAGCACCCCTTGTCCTTGGAGCTGATATTCTTTACACCCTTGCAGCACGGGGCACTGCTCTAGTTACTGTATGAAAGCTACGGGGGTGAAAGGGCACCGTGGGCTGTCCCAGGCAGGTGCGTGTGGGTGCTAAGAACCCCTGTCCTCTTCTCCAGGCTGCCGTGTGCTTGCCTGGCAGAGTGAGCACATTGTATATTGGGACCTTCATCTTTACATTTCTGCAGCACCTTCAGTGATCCTAAGCAGCACAATGATGGATCAGAATTTTTCCTTTTGCTTTTTAAGCATGAAGATCTTTTTTATAACAAATAATCTGTCAACCAAGTCCCTTATCCCTACATAGAGTGACTGAGAAAGTCCATAATGACAAACCAGTAACCCAGCTCTAGTTAGGCTACGGAAAGCACTGACCTTTATCATCATGGGCGTGTCTCTCCCGTGCCATTTACAGTGGCAAACGTATGTGTATGTCATGCTTTTCCCTGGGAACACAGAGCGTGTGACTGGGCATCACCTCTAGGGTTCTTGCCACAGGCAGGGATTTGTATCTCTATATTCCTTACCCCTTGGGGAGGGCCTGGTTCTCCAAATTGCAGGGTGATGTGCCAAGACACAGATCCTAGTGACTCAGATTGGAAGTGGTCAGGTGGGGTTCAAATGCAGACCATGTGCTCCAGAGTGGCCATTGCATGGACATGGACATGGGGACATGGGGACACAGGGACAGAAGGACGACTTTGCAGCCGAGGATGTGCACTGTCCACAGGCTGAGACTGCTCTATGAAGGCCAGAGGTGTCCTGTCTCAGCATAGCAGCTCCAAGGGTTATTTATCATTGATACCCTTTGCTATCCATTATGACTCACACCCTGAAAAGCTTTCAAGGCAGGTCCCTAACACACTCGCTTGGGAGTTCTTAGAGCACCATCCACACCCAGCCATGCTTCCACCTGTGGGTTTGGTGTCTCTGGCCCTTCCCGGTACCCTGGTGGCCCAAGGTGGCAACACCTGTCCCAGTAGTGCAGGTGGCGCCCTGGCTTTCTCCCCACAGCTTTCCATTCAAGTTTCCGCAGCCAGGCCTCTGAAGCCCATTCTAAGACTGAGAAGATTCTTTTCCCCTGAGGCCAGGAAAAGATACAGCCAGTGGCCTGGAGCCTCAGCTGCACACTTAGTGAAGGCCTAGGAGGCAGGGCTGCTCTGGGGCCCCTGGGCTTGCCGCCCCACCTGTTACCTGCTGCTGCATGGCTCCCTCTGCGGGGAAGGCAGGAGGGGCAGCCCACCCTTGTCCCCACCGGCCCAGCCTCTCTGCTCCGCTCACTGGTGTCCACCACCAGCAGATGCTGGACGTGGTGTCCCCTCCGCCTCCTCCCAGTCAGTGACAGGGGCAGGCTGACCTGAATGGACTGGCTTTTCCTTAGGATGGGTCTCTTCTACCCTCACCTGCTATAAATTACAGAACCCTGCTTCTAGGTTAGAAAACCTGCAAGGACAAGAAAGTTAAATGGAAAGATTTTTGACTTTTAAAAAATGAAATTTGGGGTTGTTACTGCTTGCTGTTGAGTCAGTTCCCTTCCTGTGAAAAGCCAGGCCCAGCTCGGGCGAGCCCTGCCCCTGTCATTCTATTTAAAGGGGTCAGTCAAGATACTGTTCACACTGTTATTTCCCTTGGCAGTGTGGGGTGGCTCTGTGTGTCGTCTGGACAGCAGCTAACTTCTGAAACAAATCCTACAGAACTGGCCCACCAAAGATGCCCAGAGAGAGTACAGATGCTGTTGTGCCTGTGCTCTTCACACGTGAACACTGGCCTGAAATGAAGCACGGCCTGCCAGCCTCCCCACCCCGCCAGGCCTGCTGTTGGGGAGAATAAACCACTGGGCAGCAGGCAAGGAGGTGGGGGTCTGTGGCTAGGGAGCAAGTAGCCTTCCTACCGGCAGCCCTTTGGATCTGAGAATTCTGTTTATAAGGAACAAACTCGGTACAAGGCCAAGCAAGTTGTTTCATGAATCCTTTTGGATATAAAAATTGCTGCAGATCTTATTGTCAGAAATGTTAACCCTGGTAATGATGATCCCTGTGTCTCTGCAGAAGGCAGGGATGCTAGAATGCTTTGAAGTGTTTGTCCTTAAATGCCTCTTCCTCTGCGGCTTGAGCACCTGGGCCGGCAGCCCTCACGTGCCTGCCCCCACCCTACCCAGCCTCTCCCCGGCCAAGGCTCCAAGCTCTCACACCTGCCTGGACTTCTTTCAGTCCATGTCAGATGTAAAAGCACAGTCTTAACATGACAGTATGTCTTTGCAGAGTTTCAAGCAGGGGACAGTAAAACATAGCTTTACTTTGGCTGTGTCCTCTCAAAGACGGTTTTAGAGGATGTAGAGGATGATATGTATGGTAGCGGTGCTCGGGCACAGGGAGTGGGGCACTTTTCCTCATCAGCACTGTTGTGCCCCCAGGGCTGGACTAACTCAGAACTTGCTGTCCGCCCCTCATCCAAGGTGGCCAGTGCCATCAGGCCTCTGGGCAGTGTGGGGAGTGGCTTCCAGATGTGCCAAGTCCTAACAGCCGGTGGCAGGGGGACACTCTGGCCCGGCCTCCAGGCCCCAGCCTGACACCTGGAATCCTAAGCATCTTTGCCCATCACTCACTCCTGGGCCAGCCCCACAGCTGCTGGCAGCAACGAATGTGGTGAGGAGACCCACTGCCTGTGTTCTAGCCCTGGCTGGCTCATCTCAGATAGGTTACTTAGCCTCTCTGGGTCATTCATGGTTATTGGGAGGAGTGAAGGAGAAGCCAGATGGCACTCTCAGATGGCATGTGACAGGTGCTGCCGTGTTAGTGACATTCTGTGTGAGATCCTCATGTCAGGCCTTTCCCTCCCCCTGATGGAATAAGGGTGATGTTTCTCTATCACCGTGATTATCTGGCTGAGCTTTGAAGAAGCGCTGCCTTGTGAGAGGACCTTCAGAGAGGGCTCCACATGGAGGACCTGCAGGCGGCGAGAAGCTAGGCCCCCAGTCTTATAGCAATAAGGACACGAATTCTCCCAGCAACATTGGTGCGGGTGGCAGTGGGCCATCTCTGGAGGACTAGACTGGCCCAAACCTTGCTTGGAGGCTTACAGAGGACCCCCCTGAGCAGTGCCCAGACTCCTGACCAACAGAAGCTTTGAGATAAAAATGTGGCTCCAGGGACTCTCTTGTCCCCTCCTGGCCTGAGCCAGGAGCTCTGTCCTCTCATTGTGTCTCTAAATAAAAGCCTCTCCCTGGCTCTCCTGCCTTGAGTGTTTGCTAAGCTCATTCTTTGACTCTGCAAACAAGAACCCTGGCATCAACAGTGTGCAGAGGAAAGAAAATAACAAAGATTAGAGAAGAAATCAGTGAGAATAGAAGACAGGAAAATACTAAAAAAAATTAATGAGACCAGAAACTAGTTATTTGAGATCAACAAAAATAGACAAACCCCCTAGATAAACTGATGAAGAATTAAATGAAGAAGACACAATTTATCAAAATTGGGAATAAAATATTATCACTACAGATTCTACAGATATTAAAAGTACAATAAAGGAGTATTATGGACAACCTTATGCCAATAATTAAGCAACTTTAATGACATAGACAAATTTTGTGAGAGCACAGACTACACTTACGTGTGAAGAACTAGACAACCTGAATAAGTTTTATTTATTTATCTTTATTAAGGAAATTGAATTTGAGGTTAAGAACTTTCCTCTTAAGAAAACTCCAGATAGAAATGGCTTCACTGGTGAATTCTATGAAGCATATTATATGAAGCATTTATGGAAAAAAATACCAGTTCCACATAAGCTTCTCCAGAAAACTGAAGAGAAGGGGATGTTTTCCAATTCAATTTATGAAACCAACACTGCCTGTATGTCAAAATCAAAGACATTCCTTGGAAAGAAAATGACAGATTAATATCCCATATGAACATAGATGCAAAAAATATAAATGAAATTTTAGCAATTATAACTTAATAATGTATAAATAGGATAATACCTTATGACCAAATGGAGTTTATCCAAGGATTGGAAGGTTGGTTTAACATTTCAAAATTCAATGTAATTCACCATAATGAAAAATTAAAAGGTAAAAATCCATATATAAAATGTGGTATATACGTATAATGGAATATTTATCAGCTATAAGAAGGTGTGAAGTACTGATTCATGCTACAACATGAATGATTCTTGAAAGCATGCTAAGTAAAAGAAGTCACAGAACACCACATATTGATGACTACATTAATGTGGCATGTCCAGAATAGCAGAGACAGAAAGCAGATTTGTTGTTTTCTTGGGTCTGGGAGAGGTGACGCAGTATGGGGGTGATGACTCAAGTGGATGAGTTTTCTTTCTGAGGTGATGAAAATGTTCCACAGTTGACTATGGTGATGGGCTGCACACATATGTAAATATACTGTGCATCCAGGGCACACAGGGCTGCTTCCTAGTCCCACCCTCCCCAGGTGGCATGGCAGTGGCTCGGTCCCTAGGTATGCTATGGGGCCACAGGGCTAGAGGGTTCTTTGTTAGCTTGGGAGGTCAGTCTTTAAGGGAGACTGGTGCTCCCTCTTGTCCCTAAGAGTCATTCCATTTTCATCTAAATATCTTGATCAAACCTTTCCTTTTTATTGCTTCCTTTATGGCAAATATAAATTCACTGTTTCTTAACTTAGATTGAAAACATACTTTTTGGAGAATTTCTGTAAAATACAGAATTTTCCATAAATTTGGTATTTGTAAATGTTACTCTGCTGGTGTCTTTGCTTTCATTTTAGCAAGTCCAAGTAGTAACTGTTTCCCCACCTGGTTTGTGGTGTTGCAGTCACTGAACACTGCGATGAAGCATCTGTGCGAGATCCTCACTGCTGACCCGGAGGGCGGGCCTGCGCGCATCCCCTTTGAGACTTTTGCCTATGTTTACCGCTACTTGTCTAAACTGGACGCGGATAGCTCTGCAGTGGAAACGGAATCCTACCTTGCCAATTTAAAGGGCAGTGTGTAAGTATGAGTGCTCCCTGGAGCTCAGGTGCAGTGATTGGAAAACTGGCTTTCCTCTTGGCTCAGATGGCTCTGTCGCCATGCATCCTGCCTTCATGGGAAGGGAAGTGCACACCCTGTGCTCAGTGTCTGGGAGTAGGGCATGGAGAAGCCAGATGGTGGGAGGCAGCTTTGTCCTCTGACTCAGGGCAGCACAGGCTTAAAGTTTGGTTCTCTTCAGACTTCAGAGGGAGAACATCTATCCTGTCTTTCAGAAGTTTATCCAGGATTTTTCCTGACTCTTTAGTGCAGTATGTCAAATGGTTTAAAATCATAGCATGCAAAAAAGCGAGAAGTCATTTCTCAGCAATGACCAGGAAACAGGCACTCCAGGTGGCAGGAGTGACCCCTTCGTGTCCTGAACGGTTATAGGTCACCCACTCTATGCCCATCTGTGCTGCCTGTGGGGGATGCAGGACAAGCAGACCTGTGGTGGGGTAGCCCTGGCCACAGAGGAGGGAGCGGCAGCCCAGGCCCCAGCAGAGGCTCCTGGAGGGCAGTGAAGTGCTGCTTGGCCTACTTTAAACAAAGACCCATGTGCCTGAAGTGCAGTGAGCTGTTACACACATCAAGGGTGGTGACACTCTGAAGTGCTCGGCAGAGAGGCGACCCTCGAACTGGGCAGCGACCAGGTCCTGTGGGCCTGCCTCAGCCCACTTCTGGCCCCTGCGCTTGCTCTCTGGGAGCGCCCTGCCCCCTTTGCGTGGCCGTCTGACATTCCCTGCTCACAGAGGCCTCCCTGGAGGGCCCTTCCCATGAAGCAGCTCCCTCTGGCCAGTTCTGTCCCTGGGGAAGTCCTCTTACATGGTGTTCATGGGGCTCAGCAGCCTGGGTCTGGTGTCTGCAGGCTGACGCTGCTCAGGGGACGGGCCCATGGGTGGGGCCCTGGCCTGCTGCACCACAGGTTGTGGAGGTGCAAAGGCTCCTAGGAGTTTGGGTTATGTCTGGTGGCAGTGGGGAGCCACTGGGGATTTTACAGAGGGAACATGGTGGTGGTCTGGGTTAGAAGACCCCTTGAGCCGCATATTAGGAGGTTTCTGCAAAGAAAAGGTCGAGACCGCTGACGAAGAAGGGGGCTGCCCCAGCGCCATCCAAATTTGGGTGCCTGAGTGGTGTGAGAGTGAGGCAGAGACTGCAGGGCTGCCCCTAAGGAGCGAGTGGCAGGGCCTGGGGAGTGCAGGACTGCGGGGTGTGGGCCCGGGGCTGCCCAGGCCAGGATCCTGCAAGCACAGGTCAGCCGGAGTCCTGAGGTCTGGGTGCCGGCGCCCCAGGGTGAGGGGAGCCCTGTGGGCGCCGAAGCGCCAGCCTCCAAGGCGGTGAGCGGGGAGGGGCGGCACCGGAAGAGCGAAGGTGGGAAAGGGCGCACTTTCCTCCATCCCCGGGTGAACTTCCCAGCGGTCCGCCCACTCCGGGCGGCCTGGACCTGGTGTCAGCGCCGCCGCCAGGAGGCGCACTCCCCCGCCGAGCTCCAGGGTCCCCTGGTGGGCATCCTCACCTCGGAGAGCAGGTGCGCAGGACTAGCGTTCTCCAAGCCCTACTCCATCTCCAAACGGCCCCAACAGCGGACTGCTCAGCAAATGTAATTCCCCTGGGCCTGTAAATGCCATTTAGAGCCACTAACTTGTGTTCCTTTCCTTTTAAAATATGAACCCTCAAGACGGTTTTCGTTATCCCCACTGACATTGAAAGTGAATGTTGTTATAGTTTAGTATTTTTACATCTACTGATGTTGACAATAAAAACTTAATGTTTGCCATCTTTTAAGAAATAAAAATATCTCTAGATAAAGAGAAAAAATTAAAAAGATATACTGTCTCCAGTGCCAAAGTTTCAGAGACCTAAGACAGTTCCTTGAGTTTTACTGGACCTGTTGTTTAAACAGAAGGCTACTTTTGTTATACTGGTAACTAAAATTTGAGTTGTCAATAAAGAAAAATCTATAAATACAGTACAGATTTTTTTCACCTAAAAACAGATGATCATTTTTGTACAAGAAAATAGAATGCTTTTTTTTAGAGGTAAGAATTGCTGATTAGGCACCAGAAATAGTTTTTTTAGGTGAAACTTTTAAATTAGATTGCATTTCATAAAGATTTTATTGTGTGCTGTGAGAAATTACTAATAAGCGTTTATTTTCAATTTAGAGAATCTAGCAAGAATGGCATGATAGGCCTTTCAGATTTCTTCATTCTAAAGGGGAAATTTCAGAAAACCTATGAAAAGAAGACTGAGAAAACAGAAGCCAGTAACACAGAGAGGAACACATTTGAATGTTAAAATAGTGCTTTTTAAAATCGCAGCACCAAATACAACTTGTCATTAACCACATATGTGCAGTGTGAGTTTTTCTTGTAAGGGAAATTTAGTGTGACCCCTATGTCATGGGGGCCTACTCAATGATGCTTTTCACCGTGTTCCTATAAGAACCTTGAATAAAAACATTCATAGAAGTAAAATGATCCGTTTGAGTAAAATAATCTATTTGGATGTTACTTAGTCCGAGGTGGGGTTGGGGGAGGGAAGGGTGCAATTCAAAACTGGCCGTTCTCTTCCTTCCTTACCAACTCCTGATGGTGGGAGCGCAGAGGCTCTGCTCCTGGGCAGCCACACCTAGGACGCTCTAGGAAGTGTGCCTTGTGCTGAAGCTGATCTCCTCTGTGGAGGGTGGGCTTGGCCGCTTGCGTGAGCTGGAGGAGACCCTGTGGCTGGGAAACAAACGGGGCAAACAATTTGGACCAGCCCTTGGTCCACTAAACAGAAATAAGCATCCAAGATCCTTTATTTGCTTCCTTTATATAAAGTCTTCAAAATGACAATGCCAGTTAATACATCTTAGATTGCTTTTCTGAGACCTTAGAAATGGTTTGGCTTGTGAGTTCCCTGCAGATGACCACCATGCTAGTAAACGTTAGCAGTGTCCAAAAACTTGTGAAAACCCAAAGTTAGTAGAAACATTTTCCTGTCATCTAAAAAGATGTTTAGTTTTTGTATTGAAATATGTAAGGTACATTTTTTATCTAGACACTTAAACTGCCTTATTTGAGATGATCATTTGCCTGGGCTTTCGCTCACCCTTCTAGTGAATAGACGATATATGGAGACTATTCGTGAAATTACAACTTCTTATAGTTGGAGTTATTAAAAGTTTTTCCAGTTAAATTGCCTTAAACCCTCTCAAAATTTGATTTCCCCAAAAGATTTAAGTATTTTCCCCCTAACTATGATGCCTGAGCACAAAGGGATAAGAAGACAAGAAACCTTAGATGTTGTGCGAGTGGAATGAACTGTAAGTCACGTTGAGTGAAAAAATGTGCAATAGCACAGATGAGCACAGA